TATTATGACTTGATTTTCCTTTTAAGATATAGTCGGCGTCCGGCGACTGTTGCACGTGGGTAGATTTACGGGAATGCGTCTTTCGAAATGGTCTCGCATGGGCTAACAGGTTATTTCAAATTTTATGGACCGGTTCGATAATTTTTCAATCGAATGTCGTTGGAAATTCAAGGAAATACGAAACTAATCAAGAAAAATGAAGCAGTTCACGTGAAAACAGCAAAATAAGCATTCACGCGTGGCGAGACCTTTTCAAGGCGCATGCGCGTAAATCTACCCGCGAACAGCAGTCGCCGGACGTCGACTATACTAATTGTCGGAGCCAAACGACTGAATGGAGATGGAGCCATCAAATTCGCGAAATCAGTGTAGATTTAAATTTTTCGTTGATTTAATATTAAATGCGCGTACACTATAATGCAATGTACGCAATCTCGCTGCCTCATTGGCACATAGCAAATAATTTTTAAAAATTTACTCGTTGTTTGACTCCGACATTCATACTTTACGTACTTTTCAATTTTATTTTGTTGCCAATTGCCAATGTAGATAGTGAGATTTGCGACGAGATCGTTTATGAAAAAATTGGGCAACGTTTGTTTTTTTTTTTTCGATTTCACCAAATTTCCGAAAATCTATTTTAAAATCAAGATTTTGTGAAATTCCTGGAAAAGAGTGCTGAAAATTTGGTTTAAATTCATTTTTTTTCCGTCATCAAACATTATTTATGGCACCAGCTCAAAAAGATTGCCCATATTCGGATTAAACGATGAGAACTTCTTTAATGGGAGTTCAAGTTTTGTTTTATACCATAAAAATAAGGTGACTATAAGGGATGAATGGAAAGTCCCAATTTTTTCGGGAAATATGAGCAAAAAGAATCGAAACGAAATCAAAGAAGCGCAAACCTCGAGAATAGCAACCAGTGAGCCGGCCGAAAGCAAAAAAAAAAACAACATTCGGAGGCTCCCGGACCCCCGGATTAAAATACATAGTTTGCTATTTTCTTTTTTTTTTTCGCTTCGCAATTCTTTTATGCATTGGTTCATGCGGGGGCCTCCATCCTAAGAAGTGAGAAGAGTGCCATCACATTGCGTGTTTGTGAAAATCACTGACAGAAAAAAAGCAAAACTTTGTGGCGGAGAAATGCCTTATTTTTCTAGTTCCCCCTACCCCCTTTATTTCGTTTTTTTCTCGTGTTGGGCCCACATCACAAAAATGCCACAAAAATTAGCAAATTGACATTCAATTTGGTTTGAGTGGTCGTCGATTCGTTTTTGCAGCGGATTGGATTACGGTAGGCCATTAGGTCGGATTTTCAGAGAATGAGGAAAAAAGGGTGTGGTAGGAAGTGGGACCATGTTGCGAAAAACAACACAATTTATCATCAAGATCAAACTTTCAAACTCTCAAAATTAATGTAAAGAGAATAATTCTCGGTGATACCAATCAGCTGATTCGGAGATCGTCTGAATTTCTGAACCATTGAATATTGGAAACATTTTAAGGTGAGCAATCTTGTGCTTTTTTATAGCCTTTCAATTTGTAATTCCAATTTTAAAGATATACGAGGATTGTGAGTTCCGAAATGATCTTGGATCGCTGCATGTGACCCATCGCTCGCATGGATGTATAATCAGCGTCCGGCCACTTCTTCACGTGGGTAGATTTACGGGGTGCGCCATTCGATATGGTCTCACGCGGACTAACAAGTTATTTTGGAAAATTCAAGGAAATACAAATCTCATCAAGAAAAAAATAAACAGTACCTTGCAAAATATGCATCCTACCTGGCGAGACCATTTCTCAAAGGCATGCCTGTAAATCTACCCGCTATATACAACAGAAGTTTCCGGCTGAAAACTCCTAGCTTGAAAATTGAAAAAAAGGACCATTAAAAAAACGATATAAATGTTTTAAAAAGAAACATCGAAAAACTGAAAAAAAATAAAGAATTTCCTATGAACGCACGTCGAAAATTACAAAAAAAAATTGACGCGATATATCGTAATTCTCTCTCCGCTATTAATTTTCAAAGGCGCACGCGAAAAGGGGTCTCGTCGCGAAGTCGATACTGTATTTTTTAATGGGTGTTTTTTTCGGATATTTTTTTATTTTTCGAGTGTTTAAAACGTTTTTTTTTGGAAATCTGTAAAAGTATATTGTTTAATTAACACTAAAGGTTCATTGGAAGCGTCATCGAGCGAAGTCTGCATCAAATCAACACAAATATCACGATTTTTCATAAAAATTGCTATCTAAATGACAAAAAGTAGACAAATATTTTCGAATTAGGAGTAATTATACCAACAATAATTGTTTTTACTCGTTCTTAAATCCGTTAGTCATTTCCTCTCTTTAAGTTTTTGAAAAATACGGAAAACTAGCACAAAAAATGAAAAGTAAAAAATACAGTACCGACTTCGCGACGTGACCCGCGCAGCTTTTCGCATGCGCCTTTAAAAATAAATAGCGGAGAATTTCAATATATCGCGTCAATTTTGTTGTAATTTTCGACGTGCGTGCATAGGGAATTCAAATGAAAAAAATTGATTTTTTAAATTTTTTTCATTGCATTAAGAGGTCCATTAAAGCTTTTTGAATATTTTAACCAGTTTTTTTTTGGAAATCATATTACATACTGTAAAAAGCAAGCTTTAACCGGGTTCTTTTGACACTAAAAATGGCTATATCGACTATTTTGTCTATGGTCTATAAATCGCAAGTACTCAATAATTAAAATGCAAAATTCCAAAAAAATCGAGAATTCCAAATTTTTATTTATATATATACATTTTGTATACTTTGGACTCGAATGTTTTCTGCTAAACGTTGCCTATTTTAAAAAAAACCGCAAAAGTCATTGGAAGATGAGTGATGGGAGTCCGAAGTGTTTGATAGACACTTCGACGGGGGGGGGGAGGGGGCCAATTTCTCATATTTATTGCCAATGAAAATGCGGGGATGCTGAGAAAGAGGACAAAAGAAAACACAAACAAAGCACAATGCGAATGATTTCGCCTGATTTTGCTCATTCCAGCCCTAAAACGATTAAAAGGATCCGGGGCGAGCGCGGCTACGCGAAAAACCCTAATTTCATGACAGCTTGCGAGGACCAACAAAATTTGGATGATGATGATGGCCTTATTTTTCAAATCAAAACTAATTCCAAAAATAAACATACTACTATTATTGAGGGGCAAAAAATGCCCTTGGATTGAAGTAAAACTAAATTGGGTTGGCCAAGAATTATAAATATATTGCTCGACGAATGATTTATTAGTGTAATTTCTTGACGCCGCTTTTATGATTTGTTTCTATGCCATTCTAACTATGTGTAATTTATTACAATATGCATAGACTGAAAACCTAATAGAGGAAAGGCATGCACCAGTAGACACTTATGTATATAGAAAAATGCATATTTCATTTTTATATGGGCAAGTGAGAGAGAACCGTGATCGGGAGCAAATTACATACAAGCATCAAGGAGCTACAACAGAAGAGACGACCCCAAACTATATAAATTTGTTTCCTTTCTAATTGAAGGCAGTGAGCAGAAAGATTTGAGGCTTCAGATTCAGAATGGTCGATCTGATAAAACATAGGATTGTCGGAAAATTTCTTTCACAGATTCCCAATTTAAATCTCCGAGAAGCTCATCTAACAAGCAATTTATTATATATTCCCCTCCCCCTCATATTGTTCCAACATCCACGGAATGATCTCTTTATATACATACATCCGGAAATGTGTCATAGAAGCAAAAAAAGGGAGAAGGGGATGGATAGGGCACAAAAATGGGGGGCACGGTCGAATAAGCAAATCGGACTAAACCGATCCTGTGAGCGGCAAAGAAAGAAAAGGAAAAGGTGCAAATGTTTCGCACATCATAGAATGGGTCATGGAATGCATGCGGTTTAGAATGTGACCGGATGTTGGGCTTCGAACAGAATTAAAAGGAGCAGTTATAGCAAATTCTGGCATAAATAAATCTCATTTTCAGAAATCGCTTGGTTTGTCAAATTGCATTCCATTGAATTAAAAAAAAATCAAAATTTCGAATTTTTAAAAGACGGTATTGGATGCCGATGAAAGTGACATCATCAAATTGGTCACATAAGACAGATAAGCTTAATAATCGTGTCAAGTCATTTTTTCACCCATCTCTACTCGGCACATATATATGTATATAATAAGGAGAACTTTCTGGAGCTCATAAATTTGCATTCAGATGAGAACTAAAAGAAAGCCCCCCTCTCCACCTATTCTACTGTATATATTTACCTGGATCTCACACTTGGAATATTTTATTTTCCCAAAAGGGATTCCCCAGGAATATATTGGTTTGCTCCAAATATCATCAATTTTAGAATGATTCTGCATTCCAGTTGTCACAAAATTCTTGAAATTTAACGCCCTCCCCCCATTAATGAAACTGCCTCAAAATTTATCATTTTCAATACTCGCCATTCACAATTTGGGCATGGACGATTAGGTCTCGACAGGAAACGTCCAAAAAAAACAGAAGACAGGTAAACAACGAGAAATGTCCATTTCAAATCGACCATAAATCCAATTTATTCGAAAACAGAAGGCAAAGGGAAATATAGAAGTGAGCGCGCGACATGGATTTGTCATCTTTGGGAGCACACCTCCACCTCATTCGGAATTCCTAATAAACCAGACAATATAATAAAGAAGGAGTGTGAAAAGAGCGAATGAATGAATTGGTTCGAAAAGAGAAAAAAAAACTTTATGTAAATGAAAGAAATCTGTGTGGCGCGCGGGCGATCGCGAATAAAAAAAAGGCGAAGCGGAAAGGATTGAGGTGAGATATATGCTAATGAAAACCAAAAGAGAGTGGTCCGTGATGAAATTGAAAAATTACTTTTGCATGCGAAATGAGTAAACGCATTTTCGCGCCAAAAATCGCCACTTCCTTTTATAGGTAACTTTTTTTTATTTCGGTTTTCTAATTGAATGAAAATGCGTGGAAATTATTTGATCTTCTTTATATTTTTCTCAGGTCGGAACACAATAAACTTCAATGATTTCTGAAAACGCACAAATTGTTTTTTCTTAATTCCGACGAAAAATTTCTAATTTACTTGCTCATCAATTCGTACAACACACGAATCATTTTCCATTCCTAAATAATTCGGCGCCGAAAATATTGTAATCATTCGACCATTACAGTGAAATTTGTGTCCGCCGTGGTACATCTAAATTCTAGCATTTTCTTGAAAAGAAATACTTGAAATTGTGTAATACTCACCTCACTTGTTATTTGATGCGCGCGAATTATCACATCAATGTTATTCCGAAGACAAAAATGTTCTATTGTTGTATCATCGAATGAGAACGAAATTCCGCGAGCCGAAAGAGCATATCCGCAATTCTACAAGATCGACGTATACACTTGTAATCGATTTTCAGTTTACTGGACTAATTTCTGGATCTGACCATACAAGATCACAAGCTAATCCGAACGCTGGAATAAAAGTCGGGCGCGAAATCTATAATGATTTGAAGCTCATTAATTTCAAGGTATCGTTAATACTGTATCAATGTCATCAATCGTTTTCATATGAGGTGAAATTCCTCCGTGTAAACATAGAATTTTGTTTACAACAGTGGCAGCAAACGGAATATGGTTAAATACATTAATCAAATTGAGCCAAACCTGAACCCCACAACCCAATTTTGAAATATAAGAATTGAAATTCGATTACCAGTTCACCCTTTTTGCCGTATTTCATCAAACATTCATCATAAAATCCATATGTAAGAGTTGTATTATAATCTTCATGATTTCCACGGACCATGAAAACTTTTTCCGGGTATAATGATTGAAATGCCATGAGCAACGTGGCCGTTTCCAGTCCTTGCATTCCGCGATCGACGTAATCGCCGAGGAATAGGTATGAAGTTGTTGAAGGATGACCGCATCTGTTGCCTATTTAAATGTGTAACACCCAAATAATGGAACCTTGCAAAAATCAATCGAAGATCATGGAATTGACCATGAATATCTCCAATTATATGAATCGGCAACGCTCCATCCAATATCCGAAGAAGTGACGGTTGTGAAGAGAACGAAGAGACCGCTGACGAGCAAACGTTCAAAATTTCTTCTGTAGTTATCGAGACATCAACGTGCGGAGTTTGGCGATTTCTTTAAAAATTAAAATGAAAAAATGCCATTTTGAACGTCTTGCATTCACAAAAAACGATCGCTATGTGCCGATTTACAGTTAGTTTGATTCGCAGGTAGCCAAAATTCCCACTGTTCAAATTTGAATTACCGCCTCGAAAAAGTTAGTTTTTCCCGCCATCTACGTAGGATTTGATGGGGATTTTATACGCATTTTACAAAATCTTCAAACTTCCATAATAAGGCAATGCAGAGAAAAGAAAAATGATTATTTTCACTTTTTTGCATTGGCCCTTGAGCAAAAAAATAAAAAAATGTTAAAAAATGAAAATAATTATTTTTTTGGTCTATTTTCTCTGAATTGCCCTATTAACATTCAAAAGACGCTATTCGAAACTCTAAAAAAGTAATCAAACATTCTCACCCTTTCATTTTCATTGGTGCATTCATTAACTTAGCGATAAAATTATTGAGAAAAACAACTTTTTCCATTGAATCATCGCCTTCATTGCTGTCCTCGCCGAGATTAGTCTCCTAGAAAATAAAAAGCAAAATCCGAACATTTCTCAAACCGAAAAACGTACGTTTTCCAGTTCAATGGTCATGGCGAGAACTTTTAAAAATGAGAACATCTATATATTTTCACGTGTTTAAATAAAACATGATTTATTTGTAATACATAAATGACTGTAGGAATTTCAAGCATTTCCTAGCTCGATGATGTAGGAAAGAAGAGTCTTGACTCCTTCCAAGTAGTTCCACTTGTTATTTTTCTCGTTCTGTGAGTGGGCCATGTCATCAGCAGCACCGAGTGGAAGGAGAAGCACACTTTTGCCAGTGAGTTCTTGGAATGTCAGTGTTATCGGGATGCTGCAGCCCTCGCGAATTCTGTCAGGCTCGACTCCATGCACATATTTCATGGCACGGGCACCAGCCAAAAAGTTCGGATCATTCACATCGGCCACCCAGGGTTTCGCGCTGTGACCAGGACGAGGACTAAATATTTCAATTCAGTTCCATAGAATGAAAAATCGACTACTTGAAAGTATTTGGAGATCCTCTTTTCTTCCAAAGATCATTCAAATAATCAATGGTTATCTTGTTAACATGCTCTGGCTCCATATTTGGCACAATTCTGATTGAGAACTTCCCGATAACCTTTGAAGGTATGACGGTTTTCTCACCGGGTCCATAAAATGCACCTTCAATGCCATGGAATGCCAACCTTAATAATGCAAATTGCTTTTGAACTAATGCAATTTAATTTTACGATGGTTCCCGCCATCTTCTCAATAGCAACGTCTTCTTATCTTCCGTTGGAAGTTTCGATGCTCCAACACTATCACGGAACTCAGCGACGTCAAATTCGATGTCGTCATAGGTCTTTTCTTCATCTTTTCCCAATGGCGCCACTTGATCATTTATTCCTAAAGAGTGCATTTATTAGCTTTAAAAAATCAAATAATAACCTGGAATGTTAATGCGATTATCAACAGTCGTCAACTGCGACATAATCCACATTAAATCCTGAAGGGGCTCATGGCTAAAAATAAGACCAAATATTTATGGGTTTGACAATGATTTCTTACACAACTCCTCCAAATACTCCAGAATGAAGATCTTGTTTAATTCCAGTCACTTCGACGAAAAATGAGCAGATTCCTCTGCGCAACACTTTTTTTTAGTACTATTGAGCGATAAATATGTATACCTGAGACCATATGTGAGGCAGGGCTTTTTGGTGCCAAGCCAGTAACTGTCAGAGATACAGACAAAGTCTACATCAGCCAAAAATCCATCCTTCTCACGAATCAATAGCTCCTCCAGTCCGACAGATCCCGACTCTTCCATAGCCTCGAAACAAAACTGAACATATCAAATGGCTGTACTGGGATTGTAGCAAATTTGTTCAACCTTGATATTCACCGGAAGTTCAATGTTGTTTTTTTGGGCAGCCTGAATGGCGTGTAGCCAGCAAAGAACTGGTCCCTTGTCATCAGACGAGCCTCTTCCGTACATTTTGCCATCTGCAACAACAAAAATAAATTTTGGTGATATTCTGCATAAAAATAAACCTTTTTCAACAAGCTCAAACGGCTCAGTGTCCCAACCATCTGACTTTGAGGCTGGCTGAACATCTGAAACAATTTTTTTTAAATTAGAATAAATTAGAAATATAGGCACCTAGATGACCATAGACCAGAAGTGTCTTCTTTTTCTTATCGCTACCCAACGCTCCCAATATAACCGGTGGTAGTGGAATAGTCTTTCCCTCCAACTTTTGGCTTCCCAAGTCCGCCAACTTGCATGTAGCTCCGACCCTTTCCAGACGCTCTCTAAAAAAAAATAATTTTTATAAGAATTATTTCAGGATAATTATACTTCATCCAATGAACCATACGAATTGTATCATCACGTCTTGATGGATCACCGGAAACGCTTTGAATCGCGACAGCCTCTTTGAGAATACTTTTAAGATTATCGTAATCGGCGTCAATTTGGCTGCAATTGATTTCTTTTACGCTTTTTCTTGAAAAAAGTTATACCTGAAAACTGATTTCAAATCAATTCCCATTTTCAGGAGTAGCTACGGGTTGGTGGGTGGAAGTCTGCAAATAATGATAAGAGAATAAAGCTACCTGGTGTTTGATAAAAATTATGCCGATATGGCAGAAAGTGGCAAAAATCAAACAAGCAATTAAATAAAAAGGTGGTTCAGAAAGTCACGTGTTTCTACGAAATCGAAACGAAATGATAAGTAGGAATATTCTCATTGGTTGATTGATAATTTCATAAGGAAGCAATATCATTCATTGTAGACTACAATTACTATTTCCTTTTTCGAGAACGATTAGATGGTTCATCTCTTAATGGGAAAGGTCGTTTTTAATGGTTAAAACGGTTCATCGAATTTCTTGACTGGTGAAGATTGTTTTCACAGGGTATATATCCTTAATCGAAATCGGTTTGTAAGATTTCCCACAAAAATGAGAAGCCTCCAAAATCGAAAATAATCCAAATAGATAGAGCCAATAAGGGTTGAATTTAATAAAGAAAATTCTCCATGAAACAAACTTAAACAGAGTCCGGAGGTTCGTCGAATTGCGCGCGAATTTCAAAAAAAACCACAAAGTTTTGCAAACAATACGAAATCGCACGAATGTGAAAGACATCGGTAAGAACTCTCTTCAGTCGTAAGGGAAACTACAAAAACAATTCAGCGAACATAAAAACCTTGATTATTTTTTCAATACTTTTCAGCATAAAAGAAGGAAGGAAACTGGTGAAAACCGATTTTGAATTTACAATTGAATGAAACAAAAACAATTTTATCCACGAAATTGAAAACAATCTAAACTATTAAATACTATTATATTAATTAAAAGCCTTTAGAATAGCAGAATTGCTCAATTAATGCTCGATGCGCTCCCTTTACTTTGATTCGGCCTTTCAACTCATCGACATGTGTCCCTACGGGATGTCCAAGTTTATTTTCAAGATAGCTGCGTAGATCAGAATCACATTTCTGAATACACAAAATTAAACCTTTAAATAATTTTTTAAACTTACAAAAACATCGCCGTCGATATTTTTGATGGTCACTAATTCAACATAATCAAAGTCAAGAGTCTTTTCATTTAATAGATCTCGTTTTTTTTCTAAATACAGTGGAAGAAGGTGATCGCGTCGTCTTTTAACAAAATACGAATGCGTTTTTCCGACATCTAAAAAATATATATGATAATTGTAAATATATTATTGAAAAAAAAATCAAAAATAACCTGTTGGTGGAATCCAACCACTCGGTGTCGGATACTTTTCATGTTTCGGTACCTCTGGCACAACTTCAATTGGCATTAATCGTTCCACATAAGACCAGTCTACGTTAATTTCGGAAACTGTGGGAAGTGTTTTCCCTGAAAATAATTAAAAAATAATCAAGCACTTTTTCTTTTGTTTCAACTAACCTTTGCCAGGCAACGCCTGCTGCCACGGATTCTCCCATGGTTTTTCATTATTTCTAATGGAAGATTTTGAAAACAGAGAAACAGATGAAGAAATCGCCCTGCTTGAGATTTTATTGAGAGTTGACGAAATCATCTGAAATAAAGCCGGTCTAAATAATTTTTAGCTGCTTGTAAACCAAAAACAAAAACAAATTATTTAAATTTAAATAATTGTATAGTTTAAGACCGGAGAAATCTCGGGTTAGGGGAAACGCGCAGGTCTTTTATTTGTCGTTATTTTTTCAAATGTTTCGTTAAAAATTGCCTTCGCTAAACGTAAAAAAGGATTCGCTAGATAAATATACTGCAGCGCGAAATAATCGAGAATAAATTTCCGATTTACACTAAAACGGGGGCGATAACGATGCTTCGATGAACATGTACTGTAGTGCACTAGGGCGCAATTGCCTACAAAATTTTAGGCCAAAAAATTTTCTATTTTTAATTTTTCCCTATTTTTCTACGTATTTTGTTGAATTGTTGCGTTTTTTATGAAGTAATTTCTTATAATATTTTAAAAGTCCCTTTTTATTCGTGTGTTTTTAGTTCTTTCAGACTATAAAACTTCATTAGTTTTTGAAAAATTAATAATTTATGCATTTTCGATGTATTGTGTTCCGTTATCGATTGTTATTTGCTTGTTAAAGCAATTATATTTTCAGGTAAAATGTCCGATTCTCTCGTGTGGCAAATCATCCGCAACAACAGCGCTTTCTTGAAAACTCAGCGCGGAATTGGAAAGAAATTTTCGACTGAGAAGTTCAACTTGAAGAAGGTCAACAGCCCACGATACAGCGGATTGGCCAACAAGTCGGCCATCGATGTTAGCCCAGCTCCATCTGGAAAGGGAGTCGTCGTCTCCACCAAGACAAACAGTATGCTTTCATTAAGGTTTATTAAAATTATTTTATATTTACCAGAGGGAAAGCCAGCTCAAGCTGTCAAAGCTAACCTTATCACCAAGAGACCAATCACTTCTACTGGACGTATCGCCAAGAGCAATGGATTCAGCCGCTTCAGCAAGGTATTTTTGAGTTTTTGACATTATATGCCTGTTCACAATAAACACTTAAATAGAGAATAAAATAAATTAATGATTCCGAATTGTCCGGAAAAGCGTCAATATTTTCAGCTCGCCCAGAGACGTGCTGCCGCTATCGTCCGCTCCCAGATCACCAAGAAGACTAAGGCTCAGAAGACCGATGCTTAAGAACTCTTTTGTTATAAATAAATTGTTACATTTTATTCATTTAAACAATCAAAGAAACTGAAACAAAACTTGTCTTGTACCGCAGCGCTTCCAATTTTTCTGAAGATGATTTTAAACCGAGAAGTTAAGTTTTAAATAACCTCATCTTCATCAGAACCTTCTTCCTCAAGGTAATTGTCGATGTCAGCCATCATCGAGTCAATTTCAGTTTTCCTTGCCCTTCTATTTTCCTCAACTATACTGATTAGCTGCTAAATTTGAAAGAAAAATATAGACGAACAAAAAAATTAACTAACATTATGCTCGTGAACAATTTGCTGAATTCCGCTGGCAATGTCTTCATCAATTCCGCAATTAACAAGCTCTTCAATTTTTCGATCTCGATAACATGAAACAGAATAGAAGAGAAGTACAACCATTAATGGCAGCCGCATCGCATTAAAATGGAACGAAAAAAAAATCAAAACGTTTGGTAATCCCCCGAGAATCCGCATGAAGAGAGCGAAAACATCGTGCGAAAAAGTGTTGGGGCGTAAGTCAATTTTTTTTCGCTTAATTATTCCCAATATTGATATGAAACGAACAACGAAAAGCCGATTCCAAAAAATATGTGTTTATCGATTTATTCATTTTCAAATTTAAAATATAAGGTATAGAGATCGAAGGCATTCAGAGTATAGTACAAAGGGTATCATATGGTTACTGTTAAATAGATAATGGTACAATATTAGAAGTTATCAACAATTTTGCGAGCAGGTCGTCCACGGCCGCGGCCTCTTGGAACACTCGAGCGATAAGTTGAATCCGATCGAACAGTCGAGAAGCTGCGAACCGACGAGGTTTCATCAAAATCTTTCTTATCCTGCAATATAGCAATTTTTCAGCAATTTCCATATAAGACGATATACCGCAAGCGACGCCACGTATAATTTATACGGTTCCCAATCGCCTTTTCCAGGCAGTGCACATGGATAAACCTTGTTGAGGTATTTCGATCTGAAAATCTTGGATTCAATCAAAATCTCGATTCTTGCGCGACTTACACAGCCACTTTGTCTTGCGGAATGAGTTTCGAGCTAAACTCGAGGGCAATTTCGAGGAAGAACAAGTTTTTTGGTGGATCGTGGTCAGCCGTCATCACATTCTTGTCAAACCCTTCGAACGCAAAATCGATACTCGATTTGTGGACGATTGCCACACCATAGCGATTCTTATTGTAATCGCTTCCAAGAGCAGAAGCAAATCTAAAAACGAACATTAAAACTATTCCAAGAATATATATATATATATACTGTACATATTATCGATATGATTTTATAGTAGTCGTCGCGCGACTGTGAAAAATTGACTAAATTCCAAAAAAATCAATGATAGACGACTTGCGCAAAACTAAATGTAAAATTAAGGGCCTATGTAATAGGTTAAAGGCGCACACCGCTCACCGAGACCTCTCTTTTAATTTTCTTGACATTTAGAAATTTTCCGCAGTCGCGCGACGTAGGCAATAATATATTTTAAAATGTTCCAACCTTTTTGCCAAATCTCTCAACGCATTGAACGAGTCAGAAAGTGGATCCAATGCTTTTTTCGATGACTTAATGAAATTATTCGATTTCTCATTATATAAATTTCGATTCCTACCAATAATTGTTCAAACATCGATTTCAGCGTCTCCAACAAAGCAGTTGAAGTATCAACAAAATCCACTTCACGACATTTGCACAACAAATTCTTAAATATATCTCCAAAATCTGTGTAATACTGCAAAAAATAAATTTTCTAAAGATACGATAGCTTAAAGGAACATACCGTAACATAATTCTGCATGAGATGAATGAGATTCTCAATCGGAATCGATCCATAAATAATGAGTTTCGAGAATTGCGAGACAAGCTTTCGTTTCTTGTGCATCAATTCGATTTGCTCCTGCTGGTCCAGTTTTGTCAAATCTTCCGTAGAAAATGCGTTCAATTTGAGGAATGCAATCAATTCGCGAACAGTTTCCTGAACAATTTTTTTAAAATAAATAATCAAAGGAAAACAGGTCATTTCCAAATACCTCATTCGGTCGAAGAACAAGTTGCTCAAAATTGCCCTTTTGATTCGAGTCTGCTAGACGTGGTCCGAATAATATTAAAACATCGCACATCGACAAATAAGCCTAAAATTGAGATCACCTAAGTTTCTTCCAATCAATAATAAAGTATAGACAAATTATATAAAAGCTATAGAATCAATAAATTTCCTTCTAATAATCAAAAAAAAAATTAAAACCTGTTCACAAGATGATACCCTTTTACGTTATTTTTTCACTACTTATCGATTTTAAATGATAAATTATCATTTCTGAAATGTAAAACGTTTAAAAATTTTAAAAGAGAGATGTGCAAATCCCCGCCAAAAAATCTGAACATTAAATTTTGCGCAAACACATTAAATTTTGCGCAAACACTCCCAATGTTATTATCGAGTGTACCTTCTTTTAATTTTTTTTAAACTCACTTTCTCAACACCTGAAGCTCCAGTTTCCAAAGTGTCTTGCAAATGGCGAACAAGTTGATCTCTTCGTTTCTTCAACTTCTTGATCGCATCCTTCAAAATATTTTATTCAATTTTTAAAAATGTATTTAAAATTATTACCTGCTTGGCGTGTTCTTCTTCCTTGCAAATATTGTACAAATCAAAATTTAGTTGCATAAAGAGCATTGTAATAGCGCGTTCACAAACATCTCGCTTCGTCTCCACGCGATCATAGTTCGACACAATTTTCAGCATCAAATCCCACATATCCCATTTCCCAAGGTCCATATAACTAGCGAACGCGGAGATGCGACGAACGGAGCACAGGAAATTCGCTTCATCCTCGTCGTCGATTTGCTCTTCCTCAACTCGTTGAGCGGATCTTCTCAATTGAAGAGCCATTCCATCAATAAGCTGAAAATTGAGAAAATAAAAACAAATTCCATTGAGAAATAATTGAAACCTTCATTCTCTCCGGCTCCGTTTGTGGCCCGACCGTCGGATGACTCGAAAGAGTTGAATATACTTCAGCAACACCATATAGAACCTACGTTATTCAAATTGATTTTGAAATAATTGAAACAGCTCTTACCTCATCATCCACATGCTTTTCGACTAACGCTTCAACTGCCTTCATAAGTTCATTCAGATTCTAAAATTCATTCATTATACAACGTTCAATATAGATTAGCCGCTTACATTTTGCATTCTTGCTGCGAGATACATGTCCAATTGGAAATAAAGTGGAATTGTGATCAAATTGACGACCTTATCGCGATCAGAGATATACTAAATAATATTGAGATTTCTTCAAAACAAATGCGATAAAAATTAGAGATTTCTTCAAAACAAATGCGATAAATTACCTTCATAATGAGATTTGGGATGGCCGGAATCATAATTTCAGTGAGTCGAATCTTGTCGTCAAGTTGCTCTCGAGATTCTTTTGTCGACGGTGCACCACGTTTAACAATAACTCTACAATTTTGAAAATAGTCAAATAGATTAGTGATTAGTAGAATGTAGAAACCTTCCAACAGGAGATTCTCCAGTAGCCGATTGTTGAATCGAACAAGCCAATATATCAATCAATTTGGTTTCCATTAGTTCCGTCACTGGAATTATATTTTTATCTTGTCAATGCCGTAAAGAAATTTTTGGCAAATTGCCCATTTGTCGCAATCGCGCCAATATGCATGTATATAATAAGAAAAAAGTTTACATTCATTAGTATTGTTCAGCAACATATCCGCCATCGTTGCCCAATCTCTAATAATAGGGTTCGTATCAATAAGAGAATCAACAAGATACGTTGCATGATCATGACACTGAAATCTGAGTGTACAAGGCGACGACAAGGAAAATAGCATTTACCTCTCCTTCAATAAAGAATTGAATCAAATCCTGAATCAGCGGCGCATTCTTCGGGTTCGGCAATTTTGTTGGCTTCTCGGCCGTCTGGAACACTTTGGTGTTCAAGAACATACCAGCAGCGACGGCTAGTTGTCGATTCGTCGCATAAATTAATTCATAGATCGGCACACAGTCTTGAACAGTTAGAAGTGTGGGGAAAACACTGAAAAAGGAAAAAATTAAATTTGATTAAAAATAAAAATCATCTGCATGTAATCCACCATATTTAATAAGGTAAGAAGTGCTTACGTGTAGATCGATCTCATCAAATGGCAGGCTTCCATAGCAACTTCTGGATCCTTATCAAGAACCATTGACACCAAACGTTCCTTGAATTTATTAGTGAACAACTCAAGCTTATCTAAAACTCCGTTCTTTTCAAAAAGAGGCATGAGTGCTCGAACGCATCTTAATCGAACATCTCCAATCTGAATGAACAAAATTATCATTTGTCGAGGAATTTTAACGAAAACCTTATCGTAAAGTGACCATCCAATATATTTCAAATAAGAATCTTCTAAGAAATGCTCTGGATAAACGAACATCCAATTTCCTAGCTCAACAATGCAAATTGATCGAATATCAGGAACACTGTCCCTAAAAATCACGAATTCACTGCAAAATCAAGAAAATTTCAACGTTTATTACCTGTATCGATGAACAAAAACTGATCTGAACAAATATTGCAACATTTGCCTCACTTCATCAGTTTTCTCTTCAAGCTAAAACGGAAATCTATAAACTCACTGAAAATGGAATAGTATACCTCATTTTTTTTGGTCAGCAGAGCTTCTAGCTTTTCATTTCCGGATCCGCTTTGCTTAATTTTCGCCTTTTCAGTTTCAATCTGCTTCGCATTCTTCTCTTTGACGGAATGAAGTTCTATGACCACATCGACAAGGGCTGATGATATTTTCATAGCTAAAAGTGAACATTTATATAATCAGTTCCTGAAAAAAAAAACGGCTAACAGAATCAGCCGCTGCAAAACCAAAGTTGTCATTCGCTTGCGGTCATGTGTCTTTTTTCGTATAAGTATTTCTTCAGCGGGGTCATTGATGAAAAATATAATAAAAAGTTATTTCGGATATCATTTCTATAGGGAATGTTTTTGAAACATAATCATCATTTCTCAAAAAAGGGACTAATTTGCGAATTAAAAATTGAGTTTTTAAGGTCGGTGAATGAGAAAAACTTTTTTTTACAGAATTGATTCGTAAAAGTATATTTAAGAATATTAAAGAGAATAATTACCTGCGAAAGTTGCAGTATGTCTGAAGGCTCGAACTTGACTGTCTGCCAGTCCCGTGAGAAGCTGGATAACTCCATCCATGAGCCGATTATCGTACATTAATGAAGATTTGCATTTTTCAATCAGAGTCTAAACACAATAAATAAAAACATCACGAAAAAACAAAAGTATACGTGGAGGAAATGGTGTAGATTCGTGCGGAATTTCTTAAAGCCTTGGCCATTTTGAACCAGCGGGTAGTCAACAGAATCCTCGTCAAAATCTTCAGTCATTCTTCGAATAATATCCCTAAATAGTTCAGACCATTAATTTTTAGAAATTAATTGATACATACGCAAATTCCATTGTTGCTGACATTTGAGGAGTCAACACTCCTTTACAACCACAAATGGAAATAAAAAACTGATGAAGATCAGTGATTGCTTGTGGATAATTGGTATCATAAAGCTGAATCCAGTTATCAACGGCTTCTGGAATGCGTTTTCCGTATTTCACGGCGCTGAACAGTGTCTTGTCGTCATGTTCAACGGCCGCAGCATCGTCGGTTTTCTTGGCGGGGCCCCTTCGCGCGCTTCCTAGAGTTGTTCCGCGAGGACGACCTCGTTTTGGAGGCTGAAATTGATTAATAAAAAATAATTTTCAAAACAATAGAAAAATATTTACGGTGTTGTACGATAAGTTTCCAAAACTCTGCGACAAATCATTAAAATCGTTATTAGCGACACGCTTTTTCCTTCCTCTTGTGCTTGCTGTTGGAGTTCGAAATACAGGTTCATCTCGTTCTCTGAATACGTTCGATTATAAAATAAAAATTGTCTCATTCACAAACCCTTGAGACATTTCCAAATAGTTTACACGGTTTTGTATCCTCGTGGACATGCGTTGCGGCGATTGATCTTCACCCTCCGACATATTTCTGAAAGTGAAATGTTTCTGTATGGGTAAATGGTGATATAAATAATATTTTGCATAATATATCACATTAAAAATTTTTTACAAAGAAAAAAGCATTTTAAACGGTCGAAAAACCGAAAACCGCGTTAAGGTAAAAAAAAAGCCGATTTGAAAACGCGCGGCTGTGCAATATATTGGCTCGGTGTACTGCACTATGTCTACCGTATCCACATAATTCGCAATTTTTTTCACGAATTTGCAATTGAAAAGGATTCATTTTGTCAAATTTATAACATTTTAATTTATTTCATTTTTCTACCACATTCAAAATTATTTAAGAAATATCCTAAGAATTTTTTTAGGTGCTAATATTTTTCTACCAAATATTTAACTTCAGTCTATCTTAGTTTTTCGCTATATTTATCTTGTTACGAAATAAATTTTCAGAAGCAAAATGGCCGATAAAGAGGGTAAAAAGCTTTCACGGAAGTAAGTAAAATTTAAGTGTAGCTATCTAATTATTATTTACAGAGATTTGAAGAAAGCAAAAGCAAAAGCTGATTATGAGAAAGAAATTCTCTCCATGGGCGGTGTAGTCGATAATCTACCTGCAGTTCAAGAAAACGAACACGGTATGGTGTAATAAAGTGATAGAAACCATAACAAATTAAATTTCAGAAGGTGGAGGCATTGGTTCCGGTGCCGAGCTCGGCGCTCATTTCACAGTCTCTCAAGCTTCTAAAAATGCGTCTCAACTAGCTCAAATCGAAAACAGCATGGATATTAAAGTAGAAAATTTCGACATTGCCGCGCAAGGGAAATTATTGTTTGACAAAGCCAATTTAACGATTGTTTATGGCAGAAGATATGGACTTGTTGGTCCCAATGGGTAATATTAACCATTTTTTATTTATTTTATTATTAATTAAATAATTGAAGGATGGGTAAAACTACCTTGCTCAAACATATTGCCGCTCGCAAACTCGCAATTCCGTCTCATATCGATTTGTTATATTGTGAACAAGAGATTCAAGTGGATAGTACCTCAGCTATTGATACCGTTGTTAGAGCCGACAAGAAACGATTAGCTCTTATTGAAGAGGAAACTAAGTTAACGGCAGAATTGGAGGCTGGAAACACTGGTGTAACAGAGAGACTCAAAGAGGTTACCTGAAATTGGCAATAAACTGAAATAATTCTTCAATTCAGGTGAATGATGAGCTTCGCGATATTGGTGCTGATTCTGCTGAGCCAAGAGCCCGGCGAATTCTTGCTGGTTTAGGATTCACGAAGGAAATGCAAGAAAAGCCCTGCACGGTATTTTTTTGTGTTTAATTCTCTTTTTATTTCATATTTTAGGACTTCTCTGGAGGTTGGCGTATGCGTATTTCTCTCGCCCGTGCTCTTTTCTTGGAGCCAACGCTTCTTATGCTTGATGAACCGACAAATCACTTGGATCTTAATGCAGTTATCTGGCTTGATAAGTAATAATTTTAGTGCTCTATTTTTTTGATTTTTTGATTATTGCACTTTCAGCTACCTTCAATCTTGGAAAAAAACTCTTCTCATCGTTTCCCACGACCAAGGATTTTTGGATAGCGTCTGTACTGATATTCTTCATCTGGATAATAAGAAACTCTATGAATACCGAGGAAACTACAGTAATATTTGGATTTTTGTTGTATAAATTTAACTGATATGTTTCAGCGTTGTTCAAAAAAATGTATGTGCAAAAATTGCAAGTGCACATCAAAGCTTTCGAACAGCAGCAGAAGCAACTGAAGGCCATGAAGAAGGAAGGTAAGAGCAGTAAGCAAGCTGAAGAGCAAATCAAGGTATTTTCAAACTTCACTATTCCGTGTTTATTGCATTTTTTAAATTTTTTTAGACGCAAATTGCTAATAAAGCAAAGAAGGGAGGCAAAAGCAAAGCTGGTTCATCATCAATGGGCGACGACACCGATGCTCCTCCGCCAGAGCTGCTGCAAAAAATTAAAGAATATCAAGTGAAATTCGTATTTCCTGAAACTACAAAGCTTAATCCGCCAGTTCTTGGACTCCATGACGTCACATTCGGTTACGGAAATGAGATTTTGTTCAAGAATGTTGATTTTGGAGTTGATATGGATTCAAGAATTGCGATTGTTGGACCAAACGGTGTTGGAAAATCGACATTGTTGAAGTTGTTAATAGGAAAAATTGAGCCGGTAGGATTATTTTCCGCAAAATCCAGATAGTAAACGTTTTCAGACATCGGGAGAGCTTCGTAAAAACCGTCTTGCAAAGATTGGCTGGTTTGATCAGCATTCGAACGAAGCTTTGAATGGAGAGCAAACCCCTGTCGAGTACCTTTGCACTAAATTCAACATTGATTATCAAGTAGGTCATCATTATGGTAAAGTATACTCATGTTGATAATTAGGAAGCTCGCAAGCAACTTGGAACAACTGGTCTGGCTGGTCATGCTCATACAGTAAAAATCAAGGATCTCTCAGGAGGACAGAAATCAAGAGTGGCGCTTTGCGATTTAGCACTTGGACATCCAGATATTATCATTTTGGTATAATATTATCTTAAAAGTTCTTTTCAAATGTCATTCTGGTGTTTAGGATGAGCCTACAAACAACCTCGATATTGAATCAATTGATGCCCTAGCTCAAGCAATCGAAGAATTCGAAGGAGGTGTTGTGATGGTTACTCACGATGAGAGATTGGTCCGAAAGACGAATTGCTCCCTTTGGATTGTTGAGAATCAGGTAGCTATTTTCCCCATTTCGGAGTTTACTGAAAATGTTGTTTCCAGGATATATCCGAGATTGATGGCGACTTCGATGATTACAAGAAGGAAGTTCTTGATGCACTTGGTGAATCACTCGTTAATAAGTAAAAACAAAATGTTAACCAAATTAGTATTTTTTCTCTTGTTTTGGCATCATATCTTTGTTTGTTTTTTATTGCTTGGGTATTTGTTGATTTCCAATTATCGAAATTTCGCTAAATTTTATAACGGGACGATCGGTACGAATGAATGGTCGATTGTCCAGAAATGAACGACAGTAGAGCTTATAACTAATATGTATTTATTAGATTGCAAACTCTGATTTGTCGTTTTATTATTTTTATATTGAGAAATTTTATAAATCAGAATTTAATTTATAAATGTCAATGAAAATGGAATTTCCGATTCGCAATTGCGAATTTGCAATATTTCACAATATATTCAACATGTTTTCCCGTGTTATTTTGATGTTTTATCGTTTCACAAACAACTCGCAATTTCGTGATTTGTAGCCAAGAGAGCTGGCAACGTGAAGAAACGCAGAAAATGAATTGTTTGACCGAGTGGCCGAGTCTGCGCATTTAAACCTTCAAAAATTCACGAATTTCCTCATTTCATTATTTTAAAACGAAATTATTTGGTTGTTACGACATATTAATTGTCATTTAGTGCAGAAAAAAAACGAAAAATAATATTTTGTTCATTTCTCTTCTTTCTTTTTTTCTGCATTGCCCTTTGATAGCAATTAAAAGCAGATTGAAAAAAACGTGCCAAGCTTCTACACATCTTAATTGAAAACTATTCCCTTAATTTACTTATTCTTGTTTTTTTTGAAGTCATCGAATTTCGTGGCAATTCGCCCTTCTTCATTCCGATTCGTTTAAGCTCAACGCTCATTCAAAGGAGCAAGCTTGGAGCGACTCGTTCAGATCGGCCATTTGCCCAAGATCTACGATATTTATGGCAAAACATTAAATTTCAGACTTGATCTTTAAAAAAATGGAAGAATTGGATCAGATTTCTCCTTTCATTCTTCATAGAGCTGAAATTAAAGACGATGAAATTTATTTTCTCAATCGGGAAAGGTTAAATAATGTACTTAATTCCCCTACACCTATAGGATTTAATATTTTGACAATTCAGACCATTACGGTAATATTTGAAATCGATCCAGAGCCGAGAAAGCAGTTTGCAACTATTTACGCGAAATTGGAAGACGATACTCTAGTTATGAGGTTTTTAAATTATAATTTTCGACATAAATTCGTTGATTAAGAAGAGACGATTATGAAAGGACAACTGAAAAGGAGCGTACAATTCTTAAAAATATTAACTATTTCGAAAAAGGAATCGAAGTGTTCGAGAATGCGTTGAAACGCTCGAATTATTGCGTGAATTCCTGTACAATTGAAATGGTAGATAATGAAAATGAATTGATATTTATTTTAATTTAATTCCTCAGGAAAATTGGGATATTACTAGATCATCGATTAAAACATTGAAAGGATGCCACTCATTCAGAATTGCTTATGGCAGTATTGAGCAACTGAAGTATGCTCTGAATATTCTGAATGATCAAGTTTCCGATCTTCAATTAGTCGATAATAATAGAGATGAACCAAATGCGATTACAATTCCGGAAGACGTTCTTGCTCATTCTCAGGTTAGCTGCAAAAATATTTTTAATTTTGTTTTGGTCGGTGTTCGGCGACAAAAATCTTTTGATAAATTTACGGGTGTCGCCACGTGTCACTCAAGTCTTTTGAGCTCTAGAACGCTATAAATCGTGTGAATTCTGAAGATTATGGGAAGGGCGCAATGATTCACAGACGCTGACTACAAATATTCATTTCTTCAGGAAAAGGTCAACTTCTAAAATATAAAATTTAGATTCAAAATGCAAAATCCTTCTACTTCTGGGCTAATTGCAACTTCACTGAAGAACACTTTTTGACGCTTTCAGCAATGAATTTCACGTTCACATCGACGACAGTGAGCGAAGAAGTGCTAAACAAATTTATTAAGGTAATTCATTCTTTAGTTTCATTGAAAATGTTTCAAAATTTCTAGAGATGGATAAATGGCCAAGGAGTTGAAGGCTTCCAACATGTCAGGATTTGGTCAACCCGAGAATTCAATGAGGACAAAGTGCTAGAAAATATCACTTTCCGTAGATGGGATCGTGCGTTTAGAGAAGAAACGTATGCCAAATCATATTAATGACTTCATTGCGATTGTTTGAATTTTTAGAGGAGGCTTTGACAGTGATTTTGATCGTGTGATGATGAGATCAGCAAACTGTGTTCAAATAATGCATTCCGATCAAAAAACGTCGGCAACCATGGGAATATCATCAAGCGGATTCTTATTCGTCGTCACTGGAAAATATTTAGATGATTACAATGTCTTCAGTTATTCAATTCCAATGTAATCATAATATTTACTCACGTATAAAAAAATTATTATAAATATTTATTTTGAATATGGACTTTTTTATATGTCACAAAATATTAATAAACGAGCACCCTGTTTGGATTAGCAGTGAGTTAGCTTACGCAGACTATCCAGAGTGTCCGAATACGCACTGTTCAAATTGGAATTTGAATTATCCGTTTGAAAAAGGGCAATGATCGACAATTACGCAAGGTGCTCGTTTTTTTTGGTAATACATATATATTTGGAATTCCTTTTTACATACATAATTGTGGACCATCGCAATTTTTCGAGGCGGTAATTCAAATTTTCATTTAAAAAGTGGGAATTTGAGTACCGTACTACAGATAATCTGCGAGTCAAACTCACCGTAATATATCAACTAATTGCAATGCAGTGACAATTTTTATCTTGATGGTAATGGGAATTCGATTCTCAAATTTCTAAAGTTAGATCTTGGCTAAACTGAAGTTCGGAATAGTGATATTTCAAAAAAGAGTATTCGATATATAAAAGATAGAAGTTGATTCAACTTTCTTTTATTTAATAGTGACAGTTGAGCAATAAAAGTGTTTGAAAATAAACTCCAAATTCGCAGTGAAAATTTAAAATAATATTAGTTTGTCGAGAAAGGGTGAATTGAAAAATATTTTTTTCTAATTTCGCGTGGTGCCCTTTTAATTGCCTAGTTTTGTGGAAAACAATGAGAACAAACGCACTCTGTTATTTGAATCTTTTGCTAAAACACTCGATTCCAAGAGCAGAATTTCTCAACGAGACCCATGACGGCAATTCAAATGTTGAAACAATAATACCCGAAATGTGTTCATCCAAAAAATGTTTTCTTCGAGAACATCGTCTTCTTACATGGTCCCTTCTTCTCTGCCCTTGTGACGAATGGAAACAAACGTGATAGCTAGTGGTACACTTTTTGACGGAACCGTCCATTTCTCCACAACACTTTCTCATCGCTAATCCAGTCAGGTTGCCCGATAACGAGCCAAATCAATTCTTATCGTATTCACTTGATATTTCAGCCCACGTTTTTTTGCAGAATGCTAGAACAACGATACCTGATATTTCTAGCTTTTCTAGCATTAACCCATGGAGAAGGCAAAATTCCGGACCAAGTGCATCTCGCCTTCACTGGCGATATGACACAAATGTCGGTCATGTGGAACACATTTGAAGAAGGTCAATTTTTCCATGTTATAATATTAATGATATTTTCATTTTGTTTTAGTTTCACAAGATGTTCAATATCATAAAAAGGTTGAAGTCAGCTCAGTAAATATCGCGAAAGGGAAATACGAGAAGTGGGTGTACGGCGGAATCACAAGATATCGCCATTTCGCCGTCATGGAAAATCTTGAATATGATACCGAATATGGTAGGTAGTTGTCAAGTTTCTTTTGAAAGTTCTCTCTTTGTAAGAAAACGTTTTTTCATACTCTGAATTTGAAATTTGCCGTGTCAACAACATGTTTAGAATTTTGAAGTTTCATGTTTATTTCTGTAATATTTCATGCAAAAGTACAAAAAAATTCTAGCTTAAATAGAAAATTTATGATATTTTTTTTTTCAAAGACTGTGGTACGCGGGTAGATTTTCGAGCCTGCGTTTTTGCGTCTAGCCCAGACTAACGGGTTTTTTGTTAAATACGTCGACAATTTTTAATTTCATAGAAATGACAATCACATAAAGAAGAACGTTTGTCGGCGTCAAACGACTGAATTAAATTTGAAAAATATTGGCTATGATGTCTCGAGATGAAGAGAATTGTTTCGCATATTTAGCACGTGCGTTGAGGCCATGGTCAACCCCGCTTACGGACTCACGAGAAGGCATATTGATTTGAGACCTTTCTTGTTTTCTAGAATACAAAATCGACAGCCGACAATTTTCGTTTAAAACCATGCCGAAGGACCCGAAATCCTACAAAGTCTGTGTTTTCGGTGATCTAGGCTACTGGCACGGAAATTCAACAGAAAGCATCATCCGTCAAGGATTGGCCGGCAATTTTGACTTCATTGTTCATTTGGGTATGCACTTTTATTCATTGCACCAATGCAATTAATGTTCAGGTGACATTGCTTATGATCTACACGCTCAAAATGGTGTTATCGGTGACAAATACCTTAATCAGTTCGAGCCTTTAATCTCCAAGGTTAGACAATTACAACGAATATCACTGATCAATTTTATAATTCTGTGTAGATGCCTTATATGGTGATTGCGGGAAATCATGAGGACGATGGACAGAATTTCACAAATTACCAGAAGAGATTTTACACGCCGGATAATGGAATGCAAGATAATCAGTTCTACAGGTTGGGCAAAGTCGAACATCGTTCTGAGACCATTATTTTCAATTCTTGCAGTTTCGACCTTGGTCCAGTTCACTGGCTCGGTGTGAGCACTGAAAACTACGGATACTACTACGATTATGGTATGGACCCTGTCATGACACAATACAACTGGCTCAAGAATGATTTGGCGGTTTGTCAAATGACCCAATCCGGGAATAATGTCTTTTTTGGTTTCAGAAAGCCAATAGTAAAAGATCACAGGTTCCATGGATCATGACATTCCAGCATCGTCCATTCTACTGCAGCAACTTGAACTCCGCAGAATGTCAATCGTTCGAGAATCGTCTTGTGCGAATCGGTTGGCTCAATATGCCTGGACTCGAGCCGCTCTTCCTTCAGAACTCCGTAGATTTCGGATTCTGGGGGCACGAGCATTCCTATGAGAGGATGTTCCCAGTGGCCGATCGGACATATTACAATGATGTAGGAAATATATGTACATTCGCATTTGAAAATAAAATCCATATATTTTTTAGTCGGATGCTTATATAAATCCGAAAGCGCCAGTTTACGTGATTTCGGGATCTGCCGGATGCCACACACCCGATGCCGAATTCACAAAACAGCCATGGCCGTGGAGTGCGGCGAGAAATAATGATTACGGATATTCGATTCTGACGATCGCCAATAGCACGCATATTCGGCTTCAGCAAATTTCGATCGATAAAAATGAGCAGATTGTTGACGATTTTTGGGTGATCAAGGAGCAGGGTCACACACATTCCAATGAGCTGAGGTACTCTATTATACAGTCTACTGTAGAGTTGGGTCATTGTTGCATTGTCCGTGTGGAGTACACAACGCGTGTCTCATAGTGTCGAGACCAATTTCGATATTATCAAGCCAATTAGTACATTTTTTAGTTTTCCAAGAATGCTCAAAATTGGAACCACACAAAGTCTTGGCGCGATATTTGAATATTTGTATTGCCTGCGAAAAATTGGCAAAATGCCAAATTCAAAAAAATTGGAATATAATTTGAGAAACTAAAATTTCAGGCGGCAATTTCCGGGCGTGAAATTCCCAATGCAAAAATGCCATTTCAAAGACATCGCCTGCCAACGATCATTGCGACAAATCAACCAAGAACTATAGAATAAACGTATTCAAAACTCGGCATTTATTGCATTTATTCTTTTCTGTTCCTCCTTGTTCGCCTTGCCGATTTTTAACCGATCATGCTCATATTTTTTGATTGAAATCGCGGCAACCGGTGTGAATATCGCGCTCAATTTATCGTTGAGACGCTGCAAATGACACTGAGAAATGATTCGAATTTCTGATTAGCATCGCACTTCGACTTCTGTCAGTATTGCTTTAATTGCGGCCAAATGTTTCGTCTGTATCATTTCCAAACTCGCCGCCATTTCATTCGCCTTTTTCACCGCCTCGTTCACCTTCGCCATTTGAATATCAAAATTCTCCTTCTTCTTCGCATCAGTGGGCGGTGCAATTTCAAGTTCGCCAGTCTTCTTTCCAAGCTCCTCAATATCCTTTCGCCATTTCTCATGCTAAATATGGTTATAATCATACTAAAAGATGTGTTTCGAAAGATCTACCCCATTATGTAAGAAGCCATAAATAATCTGCAAGTGGGGACGAAATTCTTGTTGAGCATCAGCTTCTGCATTGGCTGCGCTATCGAATATCGGCTTTAGGTCTTTTAAAAAAGCGCCCTCTCCAATCTAAAATAAAAAAAAATGGCATTTTTCTGAGAGGGACCTATTAGAAGTTCTCAAGTCTTCTGAAAAATACCGTTTGCGGAAATCTTTTTAATTCTTTAAAGATACCCTCCACCCGTCCTATTCTGTGACGTCACGATGTCATTCGCGCCCTTCCATTTATTCCATTTTTTTCCAGATTTTTAAGCCTCCAATGTACCAATTTCAGAAATCAAAGAAGTGAACGATATTTGCGGGAAAATTCAAAAAAATTTTGCGAGTCCGCAAACGCCACGACTTTTTTCAGAAATTTATACCCTTTTCTAATTTCAAGGAAAATTTTTCAGTGGCACTTTTTTTTTAATCGCCACATGTGAGCAGCCGATTTGCTAAAAAGAATTAGAAGGAAACTTTAAACTACAAAAAATATATTATTAAAGGAAAATTGTGTTGACTAAAAGAACAACGCGTCTCCGCGAAATGTGAAGACTTCGAAAAAATGAAGACAGAAGACTTCAAGCAAAAACATCCACTATATGTATTTAATTTACATGGAAAAGCTCAAATTCGGTCATTTTGAATTCTCAATTTTCTTTAAGTTCCAAAGAGCCAAAAATACAGGCTCAAGCCTTAAAGTGAAACAGCGATATTGCGGACTTGTACATTTTATTTGACGACACACCCAATTTCTCCACAACAAAATATGAAAAATCACTTTAAAAATTCGAATTTTTGAATTTCCATACCACTAATCTCGTTTTCCACCAATATTCTTTTGAAAATTTCTCGAGTAGAGCAAAAAGTGTTGCCGTTTTCTGTTCCGATTTGCTCGCGATGCGAAATTTCTCCGGCGTCCATTCTTTCAAATTCGACGGTGTCGAACACGGCTCCATTCCAGTCACAATCATCAAGTTCCAGTAAACCGCTTTCAGGCTTTTCTGAACCAAAAATAAAAACACTAGGCTCGATTCAAGAGCGAAGAATTGAAAAAGAAAAAGAGTACCCGATAGCGTTCATACGGTTTTAAGACTTCTCCAATTTTCTGAACGCATTCGACTGATTGCCTAAATCAAAAAAAAATCGAATAATTAGACATAAAACCCAAACCTTCCCATTTTTACTCCGATATAGACGAATTTTTGAAAAAAAATTTATTTCGGAAAATATTTTTTTAAAAAATAATAAGAAATAATGAGAAATCGCGGAGAGTCGAGTTTAAACAGTTCACGGTTAAAATAATTCATTCCAACAACAATTATAATGGTCCGTTCATCATTTCATTTCGTTTTCGCTCATCTTTTCGTAATTTTGTCATTTTTTCAGGTTCCTGCGTGTATTTTTTCGCCGGGATTTTCACAAATTCCCCAAAATCGACCATCAATTTATCATTTGTGCTCTGAAACTCGGCGTGTTTGCGATGAAAACTGAAATTCAAAAAAAAAAAGAAACCAAATACCGCAAATATTTGCAAAATCTCATTGATGACAGCCAAATGCTTGACTTGCAGACTCTCCATATCATTCGCATACTCATGCCCCTGAATTTCAGAAAATTCTAAAAATCCAACAATCAATAACACCTTTTTATAGCATTCATGGACCTTGAGCATCTGTTTGTTGAACGCTTCTGCCTTGGTCGCATCTTTCTCGCGGGCCTCGTCCAGCTCGATCGCCTTCTTGCAGATTTCTTCAGCGCTTTTCTTCCATTTCTCATACTTCAATATCAATATTTGTTTTGAATGAAGGTCTCGACGCGAAGACTACCCCGTTGGTGAAAAACTTCTGAAACTCCATTAACTGCTTACGATACACATATTGCGCGTCAGCATCTGTTTTCGACGCATTATCGAGAATCACTTTGACATCCCTCAGAAATTGTTCGTCACCAACCTAGAATTATTTTTTTTCGTGAAAAATTGCTATTTTAATTTAAATTTGTTTGGAATTATACTAGCAAATCAAATTTTTCAAATTTTGTGATTTTTCACATTAAGTACGGCTTCATAAACACTGCGGACTTGCATTTTAATCGACGCCTAACCAATTATTTCAATTCTACGCAGAAGGTGTTCTTAAGTCTTTTCATCCCCCATTCAATTTGATTTATCATTACCACACTTCTCGTCCTTATCCAATTCTCCTTTGCGAGCCGTGTGATGTCTTGAAGAAGCACTGCCGTCTTCTGGTCGGCCTTCGTCTTGTTTCGAATTTTGTCGGCCGGCCAATCCTTAATCGAAAACTGTCGATTTTGTTCTGAAATTCGTCCAAACTACTTGAATACTAGCCGGCTTATTGCACGGCTCATTTCCAGTGGCGACCAGCAAATTCCAGTAGACCACTTTCAGCTTCTTCTTAAAATGCGTTTTTCGTTTTGTGAGGATGCGGATTTTCGGCAACAAAATTACGCGGTATTCATCATAACGACAGCACGTCTCCCATAATTTTCGCGTTTCCTCTTTCGCCAATCTGAAAATCGAAGGGAGACTGCGTTTTCTGAAAGCGGCGAAATTCAAGCATACACTCCCATTGAAAAGCTTTTGAATGATTTTTTTGTATAAGATTAAATAAAATAAATGAAGAATGATAGAAAAATAAATAATCACGTCCCATGACGTATTGTGTCAACGTCGTAGACATGCAAATAAAGAAGAATGTAAGCCTTTGAAATGAAAAAGAAAAAATTGCGGACTTGGGCATTTTATTTGCCGACAATTCACATGTTGTTTACTACACGATCGTTTTTCTCAACAGCCTAATAACGTAGCATTTTTGCTCCTTTTTTTGAGTTTTCCGATTTCTTATCTAGTTTTCATGATAATTTATGATTTTTGAGGTCATCTCCCTCTTTAATTATCATTATTATATTGTCAATGTGTGCTCGACTGTGCTGTTGGGTCTCGTAACATATCAATTTATGGGGAAATTTACGCTGCATAGTTCGTATGGAGTGCACAGATTTTCGCTGGCATTTTGTCAATTTGTCGCTGTAAAAAATCGAGAAAAAAATTAACGGGAAAAAATCCAAAAAAACGAGCATATTGAAGTTTTTTTCATGATTCAAATTTTGATTTAAACAGTGGGAATTAAGGAATAATAAGTAATAGTAATTTGGGACATATAGGTTATTTTTCATGCTGAACACGATTTTCACACTGGTTGGTCTCAAAATATCGAAATCATTGCGCGGCGCCCAAATTTGGGGGTGGCCTAATAATCCTGCAACGCACTGTAGTTAATAACCAGCAAATCAAATCAGACATTTGTAAATTACGGTAAACGAGGGTCCTTGTAAAACATAAATTCAAAGATCAAACGTTTTCGTTTCCGCGCTCTCTTCAATCCACACACACTCTAGCAATGTCTGCTGCCTCTCAATTCAAAACGCTCTCTCTCTCTCTCTCTCTTTTCTAAATATATGTTTTTAATTATTACGCAAGGATTTTCAGATAACAATTCAAGGTTTTTTTTTGCAATAAATAACAGGTTCAGAAGGAAATGAAAAGCATAACACAAAGAACATTTCCATTCTTTTTTTTTCCGAGTGATATCAACTTTTTGATTAGTTTTTGATATGAACAATTGAGTTTGTCTTGCCCGCTTTTTCTAATAAACGCCCACCTGGAATGATTTGTAGGAATATTATATACATATATATATATATATATAGTATATAGTATAGAAGAGTATACCTTTTTTTCAAGTCATGTATATTTATATAACTTAAATCATCAATTACTTCCGAATCGTTTTATAGGATTTCATTGTATTCTGATAAACAATGAAATAGTTAGTATAACAAATATATTAAACAAATTGAATGATCAATGACTAATTTTTGAATGTTTCATTTTCCCAACAATTGAGCTCAGCGTTTGGGAACGAATTTGCTAGATTCTGCGATTCAAAAAAAATTTTCTTCTATTGTTCTTTTCAAAACAAATCTATTAGTTAGCCATCCGGATTTCGAAAGATTAAATATATTTTTCTGCGACATGCTCACAAAAAGGTAGCAATAAAAATTGGGGTATTGCTAATCTCGTTTTCTCACGATTTTCGTCGTGTCGCAGCAAAAATTGATTCGATTTGTTTTCAATTTTCTTTCATTGTTTTCTTCAAGTCTCCTTGTTTTATTTTTCCGGTTAAACTTAATCACCTGAATACGTGATTTTCAAATCAAAAGAGAATCCAACATCAAATGCATAACATAAGGCTCTTGTAAGAGTGAAACCTTATGAATGTTTGCCGCCGACAACTTACGGGTTGCGCCACACGATTTCCAACAATGGGAATCATGCGTTTTCATAGAAAATCTATGTTTTTTTTTCGCAGAAAACACCATAATTTGAAAACGCAAAAACATAAATAAGCCGAAAAAAATTCAATCTATTTTGCAGAAAACAATTCCTTCAAATCTAATATAAAACAATTTACCCTTTTTGTTATTCTGCACTAAACGTTTTTCGTCCATCCAGCTTTAAGTTAAATCTCGAAGAGAAAAAAAACATTCTCATAACCCATTAAAAATCACATTAAATGGTACGGATATGTACATATGATTGCTAGGTTTTCCTAGAATTGGAGCTGCGGACATTTTTAAAAGATTTTCGAGATCCCCTTTATTCAAGGAGAAGCTTGATCAACGAATTTCTCAAAAATTAGTTCCGCGATTAGTTAGACAAATAAATGTATTCAAATGATTCATATTCATCGTATTCGTACCGAGATACAAATCCAAGGTGCACCGCCCATTCTTCTTCCCAAATCTTTTACATTATCCCTTTTATTATACGTGACTATACGAATAGTTGTTATTCAGAAAGGTGAATAGAGTCCACAATGCGCTGAACTATGGGGTGTGACCAATCGAAAAGTTCAAAGGTAAGAAGATTCCTCGAGATCATCACGATCGCCCGATTCTAGGTGACTGATGTGGCTACTGTTAAACCTTCAACACCTGCGGTGCCAGAGTCTGAGCCACCTGGTCCAGTTCCAGCAGAGCCGGAGGTTGTGGAAAGTGCCAAGGTATCATGAGAGAATAACATACATTAATATTCTATGATTCAGCGGGCTTCACCTTCTCCAATATTCACCCGACAAGCGAGCCCACTTCCCCAGCCGAGCCCTGTCCCTGATGATAACTATACAATTATTAGGCTTTTACTATTAGGTATAAATTTTCTTGTCAATCTCAAATTTTATTTCTAATGTTTTAGGATCTGCTGAAAGTGGCAAGACGACGCTACTCGAGCAGGTCCGACTTCTTTACAAGCAGCATTTCACAGAGTCCGAAATTTTTCATCGCCGTATGTTCATTTATAATAATTTATTCAAAGCAATTCGCAGTCTGGTCATTGCCATGAACGATCATGGATATCAGTATGACGATCCTGTGAACGCGGTATGGATCTTGACACGATCGCGTGGATCAGAACATTCCAGGGTCGCGCGCAAGTGCTATTAGAAGAAACTGACAATCACTACGGATTGTTCAATGCCGATTTGGCGGAGAAGATCAAGTCGGTCTGGCGGGATGCGTCGGTGCAGAAGCTGTATGCCAGGCGAAGCGCGTTCAATCTCAACGATTCAGCAGCCTAGTCAGAATATTTTTCGCCATGCCGTTCGGTCACAAAAATCTGAAATTCGTTTCAGTTTTCTCTCAAATCTGGATGTGATCAATCGTCCCGAGTATGTGCCATCCGAGAAGGATCTCATCATGTCATATGTGCCAACGGTCGGCGTTCAAAACGTCATATTCACTGCCAATAATCAAACATTCCAGTTGGCAGAAGATGAAGCTATCAAAAATGGTGTGACCTCGCAATTTCAGATTGTTCGACATCGGCGGCCAGCGGATCGATCGACGCAAATGGGCAATACATTACGATGGAATCGACGCCATCTTCTTCTGCATCGCCATTTCCGAGTATGATCAACTAATGAATGAGGACATGATGACGGTAAAACGAAATTCAAGAAATTGTGGCTATAAAATCCTCGTTTATTTTTTTTTCTAGAATCGCCTTGACGATGCTCTGTTACTCTTAGAGAAAATCAGTAAAGAGCCGCTATTCGAGGTTAGAAGACGAAAATCAAAAATCGTTGATTGATTGATTGCAGAAAACAATGATCTACGTTTTTATGAATGAAGTAGACGTTTTTCGAGAAAAAATCAGCGAGATCCCACTAGAGAATTTTCAGTTAGATTTTAAAGGTGCATCACCATTTTTTTTTCACTTCATTATTTTTGAGTTTCAGGTGGGAATGCTGCCGACGCGCTAGAGTTCATGGAAGAGCTGGTGGTGAAATCGCTGGCGAATCGAGATCCCAGTTTGTACAAAATCTACCAAAGTGTCGCGATCGACACGAAATTGATGAAAGACATCCTCGAATCAGTATTCAAAGACATCAAAAAACGGAAAAAGTGATTAATTTCATTTTGCCTTTAGTGAGTATTTAATAATACATAAAGTGTTCAAAGTGTTCTACTTTACAATTGGTTCTTTCTTAAACAATGTGTGTACATAGTATGTTTTTTTTCCGATTCATTCGTCACACCAGCTGCTGATGCCAAACAAGGTTCTTTATTACAAAAACGACTTAATGCATATGTGAATACCGGTCGGCAGTGTGATTCCCAAATTCACCACTATCAACATTTCTTGCAATTCCTATCTAGAAGGCATGCGCCTTTGAAAAACAGAGTTTCTAGGACATATTCGCTTCGAGTTCTACTCTTGCTGCTTTTTTTAAACTTTTTTTCTATATGGCAAATCGAATTTGAAAAATTTGACTTTCGCGAGCTCTCTTTTAATTGATAACGCAAAGTGAACATTTAACCTCGTCAATTTTCCCAACTCAACTTCCAAAGGTTTTCATTCCAAACGAGACGGAAACCTTCAATTCAAAAAATCGCACATCCCCAATTATAATATTTGAATTCGCGCCAAAAACTAAGGATGTAATGGAATATATTAGAACTACCCAAACGAACCATTGTTTTTTTCTTATTTTCTAAAAATTGTAATATGCCGTAATGAAATGGACATGAAGAAATAATCTCCATAATTCTCATTTCAAAAATATTCTTGTTCCTTTTTATACCATATAATTTAGGCTCAATGTTCCTAATTGTCGTGACATTGTTCACAACTGCTCCGCAAAAATCGACGAATAAGGCGGTTATTATTCAAAATGCGAGAAGACAGGATAATGACGTCGGGACGACGGCAACAGGCCAGGTAAGCCCAAACGTCTTGTATTTTTTATACTTAATTTTCAATTTCTAAACATAACATATAGACGGCGTCTGGCGACTGCTGTACGCGGGTAAATTTACGCGGATGCCTCTTTCTCTTGGTCTCGCGCGGACTAATTGCTTTTTTTTATTAATTTTAGAGATCTCTTCGGCAATTGTTAAATCAATAGACTATAAAAATTGAAAGAAATGCTAAACTCATCAATAAAAAAAATAACCGCTCACGTAAGCGTTCACATGTGACGAGACCATTTCGAAAGGCGCACTCCGTAAATCTCTTTGAATTCTTGTGAGCCTATTCAATTAAATTATAAAAAATGTAAAAAATTACACATTTTTCTTTCAAATGCAGCGATGCAATAAAAAATTCGATGAGTACTGTAATTAAATGATGAAGAAATCTACGAGACCCGCGAGACAATTTGTAGCATGCGTCAAAATCCAAATAAGCGTAGAGGCGAGAATCTTGAGGAATAGGATGCCAGGGAAAGTTAAATGGAAATATAATAAGAAATATTACACAAGATTCATAGAATAAGCGAAAAAAAATAGAAAATTTGAATCAATCAAATAAAAAATAATACCGTAACTTGCAAGAAAAGACGCACGGCAACATTGCCCAATGGGTCTCGCACATTTCTTCATCATTTAATTACAGTACCCTTTGCATTTTTTGCATTGCTACCTTGAAAAAATGTGTATCTTTTTTTTTAAATAATTGTTTTATTGCATGAATAGATCCATCACTAGTCATTTTTTTTCTTAATTTTCGATTCTTCACACGAATTCCCAGTTCAGGTATAGCTCTGATTTGTGGTCGTCCAATAATCACGAGAGAAATGAGTACGTCATTTAGCTCGCAAAATTTGTATTAAAAATCCAATATGAAGAAAACAACCTGTTGAGATGAAAAAAAATTTAGAGCATATTCGGCGACGGCACACTGAAATCGTTGCCGAAAAAATGGCGACCAGTTTACGAGCTCAAAAAACATGCGAAAACTCGCAGTTCATAATTGAATGCAGATGTTCGTTTCGAGACCATCGATTGCGGACCAGAAAAAAAGTAATATTGCGAGAGATAGCGATACATTTTGTGGAGGTCTATCAATCAACGCGACCCGCCAAATTTCTCTCCATTTGTTTTTGATTTTGTGTGTTTATCTTAAAAATTATATTTCATCTCATCAATTGCTCAATAAAAATATCGAATATTGAACAGAAATGATATATTATGAAGATTCTTTATGGCTTCAGTACAATTTTTGGAAAACTACCATTGGAACGTTATATTTCACCTTGGGTAAGTACATTCAAATCCAGAAACGTAAAAATTTGCAACTACAGGATTTCTCGGAATCGCCTTCAACCTTATTGTTATCTCGATTCTCCCAGAGGTTCGCAAATTCGTTGCGAGACCTCTAGCAATTCTAGTGGCGATTCAATTGATATCATCAATACTTCAACTTTTTGCCGTGTTTGTTCCAGTTCCTTACATGATTGGTACACGTTTTCAGAAAAAAAAATTTTGAAAAAAATTAAAATTTCAGCTGTTGAAAAACCATATTTCATTAATGAGATCATGATCAATCTTCCCTCATTTTTTCTCGTCAATTTTCAAATTGTCTCGTTTTTAATGATGGTGACAAATTGATGAAATATGTCGCGCTAAAATAAAACTTGCAGATGTTGATTGCTGTATTTATTAATCTCAAAACGATGACACCCAAAATTAGGTAAATCGTGGTAGGATCCAACTAGGGAGTTGAGATTAATTATTGTCGGATTCAATTGGCTCATCGACGGCAGGAAATTCAATATAATAATACCCGTGAAGATCTACAAATTGAATCCCTCAAAAAATCGCTATAGATTACTGAAAAAAAAACTCAGACGCTACCAGGTTTTTGGATACCATCGTTTTTTATTATATCGAGTGAAAGCTTCGAGAAACTTGACCGCAGCCGAGGTTTTTGAGATTTTTTTTCAGTAATCTGCACAGCGACTTTTAGGGGTTTTCCGGTTATCTTCATAGATTTGCAGATTACGCAGGCACTGTTTTTTTTTTGCCTCGACCCGATTAGTCGTCATTTGAAACCGACAATGCATTTTCCAAAAAAAATTGATATCAATTTTGTATTTCAGCTCCATTATCTTCAAAACTTCTCACCTTCTTATTGCCATATTCATCCTATTTATATTCTCTGTTTATTTCACTTCATCGATATCATCAAAAACTAGGTAAATTATAATTTTGGGGGGAAAATGCGTGAAAACATTTGCGCACATTTATGTAAACTATTGCATTCGCAAAAAACGAGCACCCTGCGCCGATTTACGGATTCGCAGGTTATCTAGAGTACGGTATCCGAATCCCGAAGTTTATTTTCGAATTTGAATTACCGCCTCTGAAAGGTTCGATGGTCCATCATTATGCACGGAGATCGTTGTTTGTGATGGTAATAATTAGGCGTCAATTAAAGCCCGTAGGGCGTGATTGCACAAATTGACTATTGACTAGACTATATATAATATAGTATGTTTCTGGAACCCTCGAGAATCCGCTAACAGTATCAGTATTATCGTGGGGCATCATTTCTTTTCGTTTCAAGATTGCAGAAAAATAAAATTAAACTGAAACATGTCTGAAACGCTCTCGCAAGTGCATAAGCAGTTAGAAGCGGACTACAAATTGCGCAGTCTCTGATAAATGAAAATCAATCGAGTTCGAAAAAAATAATTCAAGACGTTGGTCTGCGGATTTGCATTTTAATTTACGCCTAAATGTTTGTAAGAGTGTAGAATTTAAAGAAGAAAAACTTGAAACCGAAGAAGTTTCACGTTTTCGCTGAGAATGACCAATTAATGCATTTTACTCAGAATCCGACGATTCGACATTTCAACTCTTGGCTGGAATATGACGGATATCGAAAAGCACACACTTATTCGGCTTCTCATAACGATCTCTACTATATCACTCACTTCTTATATTATTCTATTATGCCATATTATTTATAGGTACGGTTTGGCATATATTTTAAAATTTAAAAGACCACATTTTAGGCGTTTATTTACTGTCGCTGAAAGCGTTGAAGAGGGAGAGACGCAGAGGAATTCGACGCCGTTGAAACGCTTCATTCTGCATTTCCTGTTCAGCTCGTTCCTCTTCTCCTCTTTATTATTCAATGATTCGCTTATATCGACAATTCCTCTATTTCTAATCGCCTACTGGCCTCTGTTCTGCTCAATCTTATTCGATATTCATGTTCGATATGTAAGAATCCATTGAAGATCTTCTGAAACTCAATCGAATCAAATTTCAGATTCTCGTCCATCGCGTTCGCGGCATTTTTCAAGCACAAAACGCCAATGCTCCGATTATAATAAGAGCGAGAAAAAATGAACCAAAACTTGCGATTATTTAATATAAATATGAAGCAATTAAAATGAAAACTGTGACAAAAATACACGAATTTCTTGAATTATTCGCTTTGAATGATTTGCTTGCGATGAATTTTGTGGCTCGTTCAACGTCATAATTGCACAAATGAGCTTGACATAGCCATTGCTCAACGCCGAGGATTATCCGATGACCATTCTTCAATATTGCTGATATCATTATTGGGTGCAAACTAGTTCGAAAAATCTTCTAATTTTAGATACATGCAAGATTACTATATACTTTAAAGGCGCATGCAAAATTTTATTAGTTAGCAAAATATTAAAAATATAGGCAATGAGCCAAGTAGGTAGCCCACGCCTACCTAGAGTCTTTTGATGTCGACAATATAATTAATATAAAACTTTATTGTCGACGTCACTCGATTGAATATGATATGCGCCTTTAAAGTCCCTTTACGTGTATGCCATAAGTCTACACAATTAGTTTTTCATCAACACCTCAACCATATGATTTTTTGAGATCTGTCCACAATCGTACTATGTCGCAAATATGTACCTTTAAATGGCTCCAGCTATTCCTCTCATTAACCGATATGCATCCCTTCGAGACCCTTCCATGGAAATTTTGAATTAAGCAAAAATCGCCATCGCAGAATTCTTTCGAGTTGATCTTATTGCCAAAATGTTGTAATGAATTGCGAATCGAATTACTTACTTGGCTTGTGTTTAGAAAATTGGTGCCCATGTAGCAGCGAATGAGGCCTGGCTCGATATTAGGGACCATATTATTGCATTTGTTCTATAAGAGGTTGAAAAAAGAAACTAGTTTTGATCAAAAAATCTATTACTTTTGAGCAAACACAATCAATCATTGATTTTTTGCGTTCCACTTGAACACGATAGCAGCCATTCGCGTACAATCCGGGGAATCCTGTCGAGCTTTTCAGTCGAACGTCGAAATCGAATTCCGGAATATCGCCGCAATTCGAGACGTTCAAAAAATCTGGTCGCTGATTTTCAATGAACGTCTATTACAGAAAAGTTATGAGCATTTCCAGACGACAATTGAAAACCTCGGTTTTTACAATATGGCAATAGTTGGAAGCACATACTCGATCCCTGCGAGCTCCAAGAAATCCGCTGCTTGACTGCAAAGCATCTAACTGCATTTATAGAACATGGAAAAGCAGCTTCTTACAATTTTACTGTGGCATTCTACAGCGGGTAGTCTGACTTGTGGAAGGGGTCTCGCCGCATTTTCAGCTCTTTCCACTCGATTGCAAAGATGGCCATCGCTGAAAAATCGAAAGAAATGAAGATGGACACAATTATGGACGTGAATTACTCGCAAATACACAACGATGCTCCCAAATGATTTGTGCGGCATCCAATTTTCGATGTCCACTTCTCATCGACACCTTTCAAACACCCCTAAATAATATTGGGACTGGACTTGATTAGGAAATTTTGCGGGACAACAATAAGTATAATAGTACTCTGAAGATTTTGGAAAAAAAACCAAAAAATTAAAAATGGTTTTCTTCCACAATCTGCGTAGTATCCTAAAATATTCAGTTCATAGAAGACGGACGAATTTAGAGGTAAAAAAATTAGGGCTTTATTCATCCCAAATATAATTTCAATTTTGTCTAGTTTTAAAAATTCGTCAGCCTTTGACAATACTTGTTTTATAGACAATTCAGATCTTGATTTCCATTTCCAGACGACACATTGATCGGCTTCGCAGGGTTGCTGACAACTTAATGAGAAACAAAATTAATTAATTGATATTCAGCATTAATTTATATACCGCAATGCTCCTTGGAAATCACTTTCACAATTAAAACAGTTCAATGATAATACTGAATGAAGACAAGTGAGAGCAAATATAGCGAAAGGGTACATCATAAGCTATTCAAGCAGATGAAAAGTTTGAGAATCGGGACACGAAATTCGATTGTTCTTCTCCTACGCCTCATTCTTCGTCGTCGGAAGAGTGCACAAAACGGATGAAAGCGATAAAATGAGAGATCTCTTGACGAATTCTGAATTTCGACGGCACGCAAACCTAATTGATTTTGCGAATCGAAAAACAAATGATTTGATTTAGATGATACGGTGTTTTGAAAAGTGCAATGAAATGCGATTATAATATTGTTTATTATGTAAAGGCAAATTTCCTTTTCAAGCATGTTGAAAAAAGGTGTCACCATTGATCACACATAGAAGTGGTACCTATTTTTGTAATGATCTTAATGAGTTTCTGTTTTCTCTTAAAAAAAAACCGAAAAAATAGCATTTCTGTTCTTTTTGCCTCGAGACACTTAGGCAATAAGCTATTTTTTTAAAATTTTCTTCAGTCGCTGAAGGAAATTTTCAGAAAAAAAAATACAAAAAAATTCTAAGAAGCGGTCTAGTAAGTTAAACAATATCGTGAAAACACATTTTAAAACTTTGAAAAAGACATAACCTTTTTATAAATTTTAATATAAATTTCTACCATTCATTGAGATCTAATTAAGTTGTTGTTCTTACGCATCATTCATTGTACCCGACAGTTCGCAATTCAAGCCCCGCCCTAAATGCTTGAGGCAAGTGTGCCCTACCGCAACACAGCGTCAATCGGGAAATCGAAGCGCGTCACCTTTTGATATCAGAGAGTGTGCTAACATGAGAGAATCGGCGGACAATTGGCGTCAATTTGCAGCTCGTTTCGACAAATGCGCTCGATTGCAAGTTGTGCACCGATCCGAGTGGCACTATAAAAGGCCGGCGAATGCGCACTTTCGTCAGTTCTCGCAGCACCTCGAGTTGCGAGAAGCCCGCCTATCTTGCGGGCTCCGCGTGCCCCGCATAACCTGCGGGCTCCGCGTACCTTGCATATCCTGGCGGGCTTGTCATGGCCAAGGATCCACACGGTATGTCACATTCTTCGCAATCCTTCTTCTCAATTCCTTGTATTTTAGATCCGATGAGAGCCACAGTCGTTGCTCATCCGAGCTCTTCTGAGGTGTTATGTCGAAAGTGTCGGGGATTCTCGACTGGTGCGACTCGGTCGGCCAGTACTAACCCTACTGCAGTGTCGCTTCCAGGCCGATGTTAAACCCACATTGCATGAGTAGATATAACACGTGAAGATGAGCAAGAATGGGGAATGGCAAAAGAGGAAGCGGACTCGAGAGGTAAAGAAGGAGTCATAGTCTATCAGAATAACTCAGATCATTGCAGGCATCTTGAATCGAATGGATCTATTCGGAGGCGACGGATCGAAGAAGCGACGAGGAAGGAGCAAAAGCGTCGAGTATTTGGAAATTTTTGGTCAGGTCCAAGTTTTTTTAATTATTACTATTTTTCGCTTGTACCAGTCGTACCACTTACGGCTTTCCCTTCTATATCCCACCACTTGGGATTCCATCTCTCTTTTTGTACAGTCGTACCACTTACGTCTGTACGTCTTACTTCCTCCCGGTCCTACCGTTTGGGACCATCTCTTCTTTTCGGGGAATGCCGGCTTCCCCTTCCCCCTTTCTGCCACCAGTCGTGCCACTTGCGACTGTACCCTTCTCTCTATCAGTCGACTGATTCCCACTTCCGGCTTCCGCCTCTATATCCCACCACTTGGGATTCTCTCTCTCGGTCCTACCGTTTGGGACCAACCGTCTCTTCTTTTTTTCCGGGGGAAAGTCGTACCACTTACGGCCACGTCAGTCATTCCACTAATGACTGGCTTCCCCCTTCCGTTTTGTTTTTATTTTACTCTTATTTTTATATATTCTTCGTATTAATTTCTGTTTATATATTTTTTAGGTATTTTTTTTTACTTCTACTTCTATTATCCTCGGATGATAGTTGTGGGATGTCCTTGGGTGATCCCCATGGTGATCGGCGATGACCCACATCAGGTATCGGCCTGATGCTGGTGAGCCTCTCCTTCAAGTGCCGAGCCTCTACGTGGCGAAGGAGATCAACTGACTCGGTCCTCCTTCACGGGGGTCGAGTCAGGCTAATCGGTACACGAATTCCAACGGTCCTCTTTAGGACCACTCGGTTATTTGTATTGTTCTATAGGTATAGGGCTCATATGCAACTGGGAAACAAACAATGTGGACAAAAATTTTTTTTAGAAGTCGATGAAAAATAGATGTTTCTATAATCTGTATCATTTTTCATCCATTTTAAGATATTTTCGCCCTTTTCCTAGCTGTAATGTATATGAGCGACACTCTTGAGGAAATTTTACTGAAAATGTCTTCTATTTACTTAAAACTGGATTTATTTAGTTAAAGATCATATGATTTAATTAATAAATACGACTTCAGTAATGAATATTAGATATTGAATTAATAATCATATTTAGTAAATTTTGTTTAAAAAAATATTTCGTTGATGGATATTGGCCGGGTTTTCTATGTTCTGTGGCCGCGAAAAAGTTCGGCCAAGTTATTTTAATGATTAGTACTTGCAGGTTTCAAATTTCCTATTCAATTTTGGATTCGTAACAATTTGCTATTTCACTTATTCTACAATTCTTTTACTTTCAGATGAAATTTTTACTCGTCCTTCTCCTCTTTGTTGGGTTTTTACACGCCGAACGCAAATATCGATCGGATAAAATCAATTATATTTATGATAAAGCGTTGCAGCACATATCCGATATGCAACGATTGGCAAAACTTGAGGTGTTTTCGTCTGAATTTTAGTCAAATGGGTTATATGTTTCAGAAGGACTTGTCTGGATATGACGGAATTTATATGGATACGAAGAATCGATTCGGTTCCGGAAAAGTTGACAATTTGAACAAAGAGATTGGAAAGATTGATAAAAAATTGATAAATATTCTAGAGAAATATGGATTGGAGAATACGATTCAAGCATTTAAAGAGGTTTGTTGTCATTTCGAATCAAGTTTGTTGTTATTTTTCAGAAAACGAAGCATAAGAACACTTGGGAATACACGGAGGAAAATTTAGAACTGCCTTCTGATAAATTCACCGACGAAAAACTTCAAAAACTTTGGCACCAAGCCCAAAATGGAAAATTCAGCCAAGAAGAGCTGCTTGGTTGGTTTTTATTATTGAAATTCCCAATTTTTTTCTAAAAATTAATGTTTCAGAACTTCATAAGGAGCTGAAGGAAGTAGAACGAAAAATGGCGGTTTATGAGGATCATCTAGAAGAGTTTTCAAAAGTTCCTCACGAGAATTCGCTACATTTCGATCATCACGAAGAGAAAATCGGCGAAAAAACGAAAAAGCTTAAAAGGGCGAACAAAGAGCTCAACGAGCATTTGGAGAAAGTCCATCAGCGTATCACCAACGAAGAATATTCGCCATTTTCGGAATTCAAAGTGAAAAGACTTTGGAAATTGGTATTATTTGATGTTTCTATTTTTCTATATTTTCTCTATTTTTCTAGGCTCAAGAGAACGAGAATTTCTCAATGCACGATTTGAACGTGCTGAAGGAAGAGCTGTCTCATTTTGAAAACCAATTGAAGAAAATTGATTTTCATCAGGTATTTTCCGGAAATGAAAGCAATCATAGATTAATTGCAGAAGGAAATTGACACAATGCGAGAAATGCGTAACAAGGAAGGCAAAGCTGGAGTACATAATATCGAAGGGGCGGAGCTCGATGCTCGCCACGAGTTGCTCAACAGAAAAGTGCGCAAGTTGGAGAAATATCTCGAAAAGAAAATTACCCATTCAGAACTATAATTACCTAATAATTTTCATAAGTTATTGTATACCAAAGATCTTATCAAATTCCCGAAGTGCTCTTTTCAATTTGTAGTCGGGTCCCACTCATCCATGTGATACCATCTTCTCATATCATCGTTTAATAACACCACCACAAACACAGTTATTGCTCAATCAGCTGGTTTCATTATTGACTTGTTGGTTCCTATAAAGGGGTCTTGCTTTCTCATTTTTTGTTCAGTGTGTATTCTTCGTTTTTTTTTTGTTGCGGTGTTATCAGTCGCCGGTACTCTCATTATTGTTGCCAAACGAGAATAAGAAACTCGCCAAATTTAGGCAAGAATTTTCAGAATGTTTGATCGTGTCTTGTCGCAATTCAGCCGAAAACGCGTCGCTTCAGAGGGTGTCGTCGCCCAACAGCAGCAGCTTGCTGATAAAACCAACTTGTATGTTCATGTGCAGAAGCAGGAATTGCCGCCGAATGGTGAGATTTGAGAGTTTAGACGAAAACCTTTTAGGAATTATTTTAAAAAATTCGAAATGTAATCCCGTAAATTAAAAAATTGCGTTTTTAAATCAATTCGTGTTTTTACCTGTGAAATTTTAATTCGATTTAATTATTTCCTTTCGCGTAACTTTTTTGCAGCCCCAATTTTTTAAAAATCCGATCAGACTTCCGAAATTAAGCTTTTGAGTATTCAAAAAGGATGATCTACTATATGCAATTGGATTAAACCTCAAAAATTTGCATTTGAATCGCAAAATTATTTAGTCTCCAAATTTTATCGGCTGCTCAGGCAAATCAAATAAAATATTTTGAGAATCAAATATTCAGTGATAAACTCTAAAATATTTTGAGAAATTCTAAAGTCTATTGATACTTTCTAAAACTTATTGAGAATCAATAAATTTTAAAAATTTGGAATTTGTAAATTAAATCTTTTGAGAAAGTTAAATCTTTTGAGAAAGTGTAAAGTATCTCAATATATTGTGAGACTTTAAAATTTGAATAGGGCCCTTATGACTTCCACTGACGCAATTTGCGGCGTCTCTTTTTAAGATCTCCCAAATTCCAATAAATAATTTATGTTTTTGATGTTCCTTCCGTTTTTTTTTTTAGCTTTTTGTAATAGTTTCTTCACTTCAGTGATGGACGTATTCATGAAATGCAAGTTTTTATAATAAATGTTTAACACTACCTTAAATCTGCATTGTTTTACATGCTGAATTTGAAACAGTTGTGTCTAAACATGTCATTGCATGAACAGGTTCATGAATTTTAAAAATACGCACAATTATTACAATTAATTACAATTATACTTCAGTTTCTAATGATTTCGATATTTTAGAAGATCGGGAAAAGTGTGGAACAAACATTCCAGAAACATTGGCCGATAGATTTAAGGAACGAGGTAAATACAGCAAATTCAATGAGCAGGTGCCCATGTGGATCACGGCCATGGATATTTTCCACCTTTTTCACGAGGGAACACGTATAATAAAAGGTACTTCAATTATGTCTCTCCTTTTTCAGCATTTAAAAATTGAAGATTGTCTTTTAGAAGTCTTCGTTAAAAACGAAATAAATATTTTTCGATGCGAAGCTATTGATGTGAAAGCGAGACTGCCATCTTCGGTAAAGTCGCTATCAGGAAAATTCAATGACATTAATAGGTCCGAAAAAGCTAGTGTAAGTTAATTTACCACTTGCAATTATCATCCTTTGAAGATTTTTGAAGTGAAAATTGTTTCTAACGCCATGATCGGAACCATCCCTCCGTTAGGTTCAGCTGTTGTGTTGCTTATACATGCCTGCTACCGATGGATGGTGTCACCGACTCGCTTAGTTACAAATACAACATTACCAAACAAAGTAATATGGGATCGTTAGCTATGTACATAATAGAAAATTTTTATTTCAGATCGCAGGTATTTGCAAATTATTAGAAATTCTAATTTTAGATGGGGCGCCTCGATTGTTTTCTGGTTCAAAAGTGCACGTAAGTCGTTTTTTTTTGCAATTTTAAGAGTTATTGAACGTTGTAGCATCATGCTATTGTCGTTGATATAAGAAATAATACTAATGATTACTGTATTTATTGTTTCAGCAACTTATATACCATTTGTACAGTAATGTCAGGCGGTGTGGTCAGCTGTCGGCAATAAGCACGCAAGCGCATGAGCACATTTATCACGTTATCAAGAGAAACATGTGCTCGGAACAGACAAACGGGATTGGATATAGTATTTTGAGAATGTTAGACTCATTCAGTTATTTTTTAAAACTGGCAATTTTCAGCTATAAACTATATCACGAGATTTCATTGAAAATGCGTTTCAACGCGAATCCGGATTTAATTAAGAAGTCATTTTATCGCAAAGAACTCATGAAATTAATCGAAAAACGACAAATTCAATCATCAAAATTTGTAAGTTCAACATTTTCTTTCAATATATGCAACGAATTCCTTATAGCAACGTTGTGCGTCATTCGCAGAAAAAGGAGAAAATGCGAAAAGAATAAATTGATTCATTTATTTTTTTCTGATTTTTATTATTAATATATTCATTTCGCATTAATATTGTAATAAATGAAATGTTCATACATATTCAATTATTATGGATGTTATTACATTCTATTTGTGTGAAAATTGCTCGATAACGTATGATATTACATAATATTGGACAGAGTTTATTGAGAACAATCTAAAATTTATTGATATATTCTAAAGTTTATTGAGACAAATCTAAAACTTATTGATAAACTTTAAAGTTTATTGAGACAAATCTAAAACTTATTGATAAACTTTAAAGTCTCACAATATTCATTGAAACTTATTGATAAATTCTAAAATCTTATGAGATTTCATAAAGTTTATTGAGACAAATCTAAAATATTATAGAGACACGTTAGCCTCTCAACGAACCTCATAAGATTTTAGAATTGTCTCAAAATATTTTTTTTCATTTGCCTGAGTGTGTCCTGATAAGACGTTTCCTTTGTTCAATTCGATAAAAATAGATACTATCAAATGATACCAATGATTTTCAAAATTTAGTTTGTTTTTGTTTTGTTTCAGAAAAAAAGATGAAAATGTCGCAGAAGATTTGCTTAAAATGTTTAGCTGGCGAGAGCGGCCACATAACTCACGTGCTTTCGGAAATCTCTAATTACTCAGGCAAATGAAAAAAAATATTTTGAGACAATTCTAAAATCTTATGAGGTTCGTTGAGAGGCTAACGTGTCTCTATAATATTTTAGATTTGTCTCAATAAACTTTAGGAAATCTCATAAGATTTTAGAATTTATCAATAAGTTTCAATGAATATTGTGAGACTTTAAAGTGTATCAATAAGTTTTAGATTTGTCTCAATAAACTTTAAAGTTTATCAATAAGTTTTAGATTTGTCTCAATAAACTTTAGAATATATCAATAAATTTTAGATTGTTCTCAATAAACTCTGTCCAATATTATGTAATATCATACGTTATCGAGCAATTTTCACACAAATAGAATGTAATAACATCCATAATAATTGAATATGTATGAACATTTCATTTATTACAATATTAATGCGAAATGAATATATTAATAATAAAAATCAGAAAAAAAATAAATGAATCAATTTATTCTTTTCGCATTTTCTCCTTTTTCTGCGAATGACGCACAACGTTGCTATAAGGAATTCGTTGCATATATTGAAAGAAAATGTTGAACTTACAAATTTTGATGATTGAATTTGTCGTTTTTCGATTAATTTCATGAGTTCTTTGCGATAAAATGACTTCTTAATTAAATCCGGATTCGCGTTGAAACGCATTTTCAATGAAATCTCGTGATATAGTTTATAGCTGAAAATTGCCAGTTTTAAAAAATAACTGAATGAGTCTAACTTTCTCAAAATACTATATCCAATCCCGTTTGTCTGTTCCGAGCACATGTTTCTCTTGATAACGTGATAAATGTGCTCATGCGCTTGCGTGCTTATTGCCGACAGCTGACCACACCGCCTGACATTACTGTACAAATGGTATATAAGTTGCTGAAACAATAAATACAGTAATCATTAGTAAAAAAAACGACTTACGTGCACTTTTGAACCAGAAAACAATTGAGGCGCCCCATCTCAAATTAGAATTTCTAATAATTTGCAAATACCTGCGATCTGAAATAAAAATTTTCTATTATGTACATAGCTAACGATCCCATATTACTTTGTTATATTACTAGCGAGTCGGTGACACCATCCATCGGTAGCAGGCATGTATAAGCAACACAACAGCTGAACCTAACGGAGGGATGGTTCCGATCATGGCGTTAGAAACAATTTTCACTTCAAAAATCTTCAAAGGATGATAATTGCAAGTGGTAAATTAACTTACACTAGCTTTTTCGGACCTATTAATGTCATTGAATTTTCCTGATAGCGACTTTACCGAAGATGGCAGTCTCGCTTTCACATCAATAGCTTCGCATCGAAAAATATTTATTTCGTTTTTAACGAAGACTTCTAAAAGACAATCTTCAATTTTTAAATGCTGAAAAAGGAGAGACATAATTGAAGTACCTTTTATTATACGTGTTCCCTCGTGAAAAAGGTGGAAAATATCCATGGCCGTGATCCACATGGGCACCTGCTCATTGAATTTGCTGTATTTACCTCGTTCCTTAAATCTATCGGCCAATGTTTCTGGAATATTTGTTCCACACTTTTCCCGATCTTCTAAAATATCGAAATCATTAGAAACTGAAGTATAATTGTAATTAATTGTAATAATTGTGCGTGTTTTTAAAATTCATGAACCTGTTCATGCAATGACATGTTTAGGCACAACTGTTTCAAATTCAGCATGTAAAACAATGCAGATTTAAGGTAGTGTTAAACATTTATTATAAAAACTTGCATTTCATGAATACGTCCATCACTAAAGTGAAGAAACTATTACAAAAAGCTAAAAAAAAACGGAAGGAACATCAAAAACATAAATTATTTATTGGAATTTGGGAGATCTTAAAAAGAGACGCCGCAAATTGCGTCAGTGGAAGTCATAAGGGCCCTATTCAAATTTTAAAGTCTCACAATATATTGAGATACTTTACACTTTCTCAAAAGATTTAATTTACAAATTCCAAATTTTTAAAATTTATTGATTCTCAATAAGTTTTAGAAAGTATCAATAGACTTTAGAATTTCTCAAAATATTTTAGAGTTTATCACTGAATATTTGATTCTCAAAATATTTTATTTGATTTGCCTGAGTAGAAACTTGTTCTATTTGTCGATTCTGTTGAATATTCTGTATATAGTCTGCTGTTATTAACAACAACTTTCTCGATGTTCATCTTATTAATGTTTTATTGTGGTTTTTTTAAATAAATAATAAGACGGGATATTTAATTGACTTTGGCGAGACCAAGGCGGCCGTTTTGCACATCGTGCACATGGCAATAGGCGCGCATGAACGGCGGTCCGAGCATCCAGGCTGGGTAGAAGCCTCCGGCGGTCAAATGGTAGAAGGCGAACATGCAGGGTCCCGGGCCAGCCTGAATATATGGACAGTGTTTTTTTCAATATCAATTTCTTCGTACCGAAACAACGAAGCTGGTCGATGGCATGCTATAATCCTTTCCATTAATCGTAAAGACAATATCTGGAACGACAGCGTCGCAATCAATGAAGTAAGCTCCAGTGAGAGGGACATAGGTAGCTCCAACACTGAAAATGAAGTCAAACTACTCAAAATTAAAAAAATATTAAAACTTACGATTTTGCCAATTGTTGCACAACTGTCTTCGGAGCTCCGATGAAGGAAGCTGCGGTGTCGGCGGCGGCTTGCCATCCGGCAGCTGGGGCTTGCTTGTAAGATCCTGACGAAACCCTTCAAAATTTGAAATTTATTAATACGATTTAATTAGCGCCTATTACCCTCCAAGTTTGAATTGCCAGAAGGTCTTGGTTGACAATGGAACCCAATCGACATTGGCGTTGCAGTTGACTGAATCGAGCCCTCCTACGGTCAACGCGCCTCCATTTAGCTGCGAGGTGGGTCCGATTCTAGCAAGATAGACCACAAAGTAGGGCTGATCAAGCTTTCCGTCGTTCAACAAGTTGAAGATTGGCGGAGTTTGCTGGTTGACAGCGAGCGATGGCCATCCAAGTCCAAGGATTCCATCTTCTGGCTGCTTTCCGAAGGCTTCTCCAATGGTGGTCGCCTGGGCGAAGATTTGTTTGTCTGTGCAGAGAGTGCTGTTGATGAACTAAAAAAGGGAAACAATTTTTTTTATTGTTGGGAGATGTACGCAGAATTTGTCCTGTCCGAAGAATCCCTTGACTTCTCCAGTGTTATATGTGATGTCGAATGGTTGGCCATTGGCGACGTAGGTTGAAGAGAGCGATGAGTTGAAGTGATGCTTTGACTGGCACGCATCTTTGGCTCTGAAAATAATTTATAGAAGGAAAAGCATGAAACTAAAAATTACGCCAAGATTCTTGGGGATTCAGCAGACTTTGTGCAGCATTGTTCTTGGCAGAAAGTCAAGCAAGCGTCATAAGGTGTCTAAATACCATTAATATTGCCATATTCATATTTCAAGTTTACCGATTTGCAGTAGCTTCCACAGGTAGCGTCTTTGCCTCCAGCGCACGAGACATCAGGAACCCAGAGATTTGAAGATCCAGAATCGATGAAGAGAACAAAGTTCTGAGCTGGAGTTCCCAAGCTGATTTGAACTGAAATTCCTTTTTCGGTAACTACTTCATCCGCGAAAAGAGTATATGTAAATTCGACGAATTCCTTGTACATTAAAACCCGTACATTAAAAAAAAAACAAAAATTCTTCTAGATTCGTATTTTTTGCTTTAAAAAAATACAAACCCATATAAGCCATATCTTCATAATCAATTATTCCAGAAGAAACCGAATTGAGCTGTTGAGACTTTGCTCCAGCAATTTTCTGCTCGCGGACATATTGCTCCAATTTTCCTTCAGCGGCGAGTCGCTGCCTGAGCGGTGGACGATATCTAGAAACATTCGTATTATTAAAAATTATTTTTGCAAAAACAGTTCATACCCAAGATTCAGTTGATGCACAGCGGCAAATGTGTCCACAACGAGAATCGCGAGAAGAAGTATGGCCAACTTCGTCATGTCTAATTCCTGCAAATTAAGTTCAATTTTAATTGAATCGGCGTGCAAAATTGAAAGTGGCCAACTTAATTATCAGTTGAACGCCATAGTTTATATATTAATGCTGATAAACCGCATATGATGAAACTATGGCAAATCATCTCATGTCGCCGCATTATCGTTGAAATTTCATCGAAGCACCAGAAAATTCTGAAATTTTTTTAATGATAAACAAAAAATCCGGCGAGCACAGAACAGCACCAACTTTCATCAAGATTTGATAGAAATGTTGAAAATCATATTTTCCAAAAAAAAGGAAAACTTTCATCATAGATCCACATTTTAGAGACTGATTACTGTAATTATTTTTCTTCATACGTGTTTACGGGCCAAACATGTACCGTAATTTCGTCTTGAATTTTTTTGTTTTCGAAATTGTCGATTGTCTCTGTTTGACGAAAATATGAGCTCGGTTATCGTTTCTTCATCGTTAAACATTGATGAAGATGAGCACAATGAATTTCGAATGCATTGGAAGATGTTAATCAGTGAGGTATACCTAGTTCTAGAATATATAAATCAACCAATTTCTATCAGGTTGCAAAATTTCAAACAAGTCAAGACAAAGATGGTTCAATTCGGCGAACGATTCAACCAATCAGCAAGTAATTTTGACAGTACGAAATAGAGCTATAAATCGATTTAAGAACAATATGCGCGTTCTTGAATACCGATGGCGGCCGGGTTTTTATTGGGATCGACGAATTCCAAAAAATCAAGGGTGTTAACATGTCAAGAAACATGGTTTGCATTTTTGTTTCAATTAAACGTTATTAATTAATTTTTACAGCTTGATCATTTCTTCGGCTCTCTAAGACAAATGTGTGATCATTTCAAGCCATTTAATCCATTAAACCGTATCAAGGGTGAATTATCAATTTTTTTTTTCAAAAAAAAATAAAATAATTCAGTGACGGTAATGACTGTTCATAAGATAACCGAAGATAAAATTAAGCTAAAAAGGGTTAATCTGGAAAAATACACTGAAGAGGAGAAAATGATTCTGATGCCCTATCACGAAATCGGATCGACATTTGTAAACTCCGAACATTCTCAAATGTCATGAGAAACTTCATTTTTTTCAGTGTGAATGTTTCAAGGAACCTTTCACTCACGAATATCTCATAGTTATCAATGTATTTTAAGGCTTTTGACAAATAAAGTAGAATCTTAAATTTCCAGGTGTCTGCTCCTCGTCCTGACGAGAATACTGTGATATTCCAGAACGAGGAAGGATTGGCTTATAGGTTTTCCTTTTCAAACATCAAACAACTAGTAACGTTTTTCAGGAGACGTCTCGCGTCCAACAAATGCGTCTACTTTGACGACATTCGAAGAATTCTCAAAGAGCGCGATGTTGTTCGGGATTTGCATGACGAGGTTCGCAAGGAAATCGACAGATTCATTAACATCCGAAGTCTCGTGTAATTATATCAAATAATAATAATAGTAATAATAATAGTTCCCTTTATTGTTTGTTGATCAAAACCATAAACGTTCACCACTTAGCGACAAGCTCATCGATTTTAGTCACCAATGGATCGACGACCTTCTCATAGAACACGATAGATCCTTGAGTTTGCGGCAAATAAAGGTAGATTAGGAAAATGGCTTTAAGGATGAAATAGAATGGGAATAGCCGGAAAATGCCTTCCGAGAAAAAGTCGAAAAGGCATAATACAGCGAAGCATGTCCAGTAAACGAGCCATCGGGTGTCATCGTCAGTGTCATGAGTTCGAATAGCCTATAAGAACTGTGTCTCTTATGGTATCAGCGCAGTTTTATCAATCAACCTTCACACTAGCGTACATTGGATAGCCAAAACCAATAAGGTTGCACATCAATCGAGCCGCCGAGCCGAAAATGAGGTAAAGCGCTACGAGTCCGCAGAAAATGTACGACACTTGCTCGCGTTTGAGCCCAAGGTTCTCAGCATTCGTCATGACCTTGTCGAAAATATCACCATGCGATCTAGCGAGAAACGCGATCAGATCACTCTAAAGTATGACTCGAACAAATGCCTCCTAGTTGAACTTACATGAGCGGCATTGAAGCCCTCAACCGGCTGAACATCGGAATTCCGGCGAGCTCGTCGAACCGGCGCCGCGGCTTTTTGCAGAGCGTTTCGAATTGATGACATTGCGATTGTAGTGAATCAGAAAACCAGTTGTTTGGACGAATAATCTCGGAAATCAGTAATGGCAATTATGGTGTCGTTGTTTTTTTTTTAGCGTATATTGAAAAGGTCAAGTTTATTTTTTAAATTAAATATTCCTTGTTGCTTTTTTTATTCTAATTGACGGTCTTGTTGGTCCTGCCACGGCTAAATTCAAATACGTTTGTTTACAGAAACGATCTGAATCTGAAACGCATTTTTTATTAATCCAGCATCATGTGAAAGCTTCACTGATTCGAGTTCGAGCCCAGTTCATTGAACGAAACACATTGCAGCTCAAGGATGATTCATCGATAAGTGGGGCAAAGCGGGAATAAATCACTCTCTGAAAAGCTCAGATCGGCTTGGATGAACTGATATATTTGAAGACATTCGGTAATTAAATAGCAAATTTAATGATATGATGCAAATTACGAAAAAAAACTCAATAAACAGGTAAAAGCTACCAATAAGTCCTAAAAACCAACCCAATACATATTGTGCAAAAAACTAATTTTTTGAGTTTTTCGAGTTTTCTTCCCAACACCTGCATAACATCATAATGGTTAATAAGGTTGCTTGCGACTGCAGACCAAGTGACGGCGTGTTTTATCACCGAGAATTGGTTTTTTGTTATCTTCTTTCTTTTGAAATTATCCGATTTGTTCCTGTTCACTTCGAATTTCTACTCTTCCAGAAAACTGAGGATTTCTTCTCCTTATTAGGAGAATCTGGGAAAATCTCTACAAATGTCTCAGAACCGAAGAAATTAACTCGTACGAAAATGTTTAAGTTTACGATATTTTGCAAGGTCGTCAGCTGTTTTTCAGAAAGGGTTTTTTTTTAGTAAAATTTATACTTTTCTGAGCACGTTTTCTCAACAAAAAACAACTACCGTAATAGGTCGCCTGGGGCGCGCGCTTCCGTCTATTTGTTGTTGTTTTTGATATAAATGAGAACCTCAACGCGACTGCGACAAATCGACTAAATTCCAGAAATGGTCTCGAGAAGACGAGACCATTTTTGGAATGTGCAGTCCACATGGACAACGCACCACTTAATAACGTGGCGTAAAAATCCTCGCGGGTAAATCGACTCATGTTGCGAGACCTAACTTTACAGTAGACCGCGCCATCTACAGTCAACGTTATAAGGTCTTGTAGCGAAAAATTCTGGTAGCCACTTTTTTTGGAAAACGCAGTATAACATTCAAATTAAAATTTAAAAATTTCGTCCGTTAGAAACTCATATTATTGCTTCCGTTCCTAATTCATTTGGTGTTTACAAAAAACGTTTTAAATGACGACAATTTCCATAGAAAATCACCGCTTCGATGAAAACCACCAATTTGTTCTATTTTTATGCCTCTGATTCTCCTAATATTTGTAATTGTTTCGCCGAACTCCGAAAAAAAACCCTGCTTGCTTGCCCATTTTCAGAATAATTCTCAATGTTTGCTTGTTTTTCTCAAATTAGCACAATAAATAAAATAGTTTCAATGTTGAATTTATTGCTGAAAAACATCTCATCTAATTGGCATCGCACTCAAAAAAATTCCAAAAATATTAACGTTGGAGCTCAAGCACCATGATAAAATACTTTTGTCATCATTTTCGCTATTACAACATGAAAACGTTTGGACCGATTTATAAGCCAACCCATCGTAGAGCTGATAAAAGTGTCAACGGCGTTATGTCAGTTGCGAAATCATAATGTTTCTTTCATTTATAGCTTTTATTTTGTTAAATCGAATAAATTAAACAAAAGGCGAAAATGCCACATTGTCGATATGAAAATGATATTTGATTCAGTTGCCCTTATCACTGGCTGATTTGCTCTTTTGTTATTTTCCGATTGTATAGCAATGAAAAAAACATAAATTTGTTGAACTCACATCAAAAAATGATGATATTCTGAGGATTTGCATAATTATTTCCGGTTTTTTTACATCTCATATAACAATCCCGTTCATTGCGGGTTTCGCGATTTTGAAAGTTGTCATAGTAACCGATTGTCTCAAAATTTCATTGCATTATATATATATAATTTTTAATACACCAATAAATTAATTTTCAGGAAAAAACGAGCGAAAACTCGGGGGAAATGTTCCCATCGTTTTGTGGGGCTAATGAACAGCACAATGTAAGATGTTTCACTATTAAAATATTTTCTTACCATTTTCAGACGTTTGAAACCGGGCTTCCGAATGTTTCGATATGTGTCCAACACACGTTGCTCGTCTGGCTGCCCACCATCTTTTTCGTGTGCTCTGTTCCATTTCTAGTTTCTCAATGCCATCTGAACGCCCAGCGATTCGCTAGGCTACCAATTAGCTTCATTTTTGTATTTAAAATCGTCAGTTCTTTTTTTTTTTCGAAAAATGTTTTGTGAAACATCAATTTTATTCAGATGCTATCCGCGTTTCTAGCAATTAATTCATTATGCGTCTGGTGTTACGTTCTATTCTCATCGCAATCATTCCCGGGTGCATATTACGTGTACCCCGCATGTCTACTCTTGGTCTATGTAACTTAAAATTTCATATTTTTTCATAAACCACCTAAAAAATTTTAGACTGCCACAACATTACTTCATTTCGTCCGTCTTCGGTGTGGTCTCGTTAGTTCAGGTGTCCAGCATATCACTGCACTTATTTTTCTTATCACCGGCGCTCCTGAGTTCTATCAGTGGGTGCGATCAGGCAACGAGGTTTTTCTCAACTTTTTTTTTAACGCGTGAGACTTTTCCAAAAATCTGGTCTAATTTCAGAGTAATCAAGTATTAGATTCATTTCTGTGCATCGCCTATCTTTCATACTACCCGGCTCTTTTTGTGTACACATTCCTGCTCTCTTTCGCCGATCCGCGAGCCGAAAAACATGCCGACGGCCAGAGTCCTGAACTTCAGAGCTCATTCTTGAATCGTCTCACTCTCTGGTGGTTCAACAGGGTTCCATGGATTGGCGCCCAACGGAATTTGGAGTTGGAAGATGTCTTTGAGCTCAATGATCGCAGCAAATCGGAGCATCTCAACGAGCTGTGGGAAACGTTCTGGGAGCCGAAGCGACAAAGTTATCAAGAAATCGATTATTACCACTAAACTTATAAATTCAGAATACATTCACGACAAAAGCATTTGGAGCAAGAATCAGGGCAAACCTGTCGAGCAGCCTTCTGTTGTCGCCACGCTGTTCAGAATGTTTCGATGGGAATTCCTGTTGGCTTCTATTCTCAAATTCACTTCAGATACTATGCAGTTTGCAAGTCCTTTCCTTTTACAGTAATCATTTTTATAAATGCTAAAAAGTTGAAAATTCACGATTTTTAGCGAACTTTTGAGCTTTGTCTCATCACCGAATGCTCCGTTCTGGAAAGGAGCCGCTTTGAGTATACTCATGTTCGCCTCATCTGAGGTAATTCAATACATCGTCCCTTTCAGAGCTTCTTGAACTTTTTAGACGCGCTCACTTCTTCTCAACTCATATTTTTACATCATGTTCCGTATGGGAATTAAGATTCAAACCGCCCTTACAGCAGCAGTTTATAAGAAAGTGCGTTCCAAATCGCAATCTTGCCGATATAATGTTACTTCTAGACATTATGCATTTCAAATTCTGCCAGACGCGACAAAACTGCAGGAGAAATCGTTAACTTGATGGCTATTGATGTTGAAAGATTCCAAATGATCACACCCCAAATTCAGCAACTCTGGAGTTGTCCTTATCAGGTATTTTTTTTTTGAAACTATTCGCATTTATAGCACACGTTTAGATCACATTCGCATTGGTTTATCTTTTCATAACCCTTGGATATTCTGCTGTCCCAGGAGTCATCATTATGATCATTTTTGTTCCAATGAACATCATCAGCTCAATGATTGTAAGAAAATGGCAAATGGAGCAGATGAAATTGAAAGATGAACGTACCAAAATGGTCAACGAGGTTCTCAACGGCATGAAAGTTGTGAAGTTGTACGCCTGGGAGATTCCCATGGAGGAGCATATCGAGAATATTCGAAAGAAGGAGCTCCGGCTTATTAAGAAGGCAGCAATTGTTAGGAACACTCTGGACTCATTCAACACGGCCAGTCCATTTCTGGTGGCGCTTTTCTCATTCGGAACTTTTGTTTTGTCAAATCCGAAACATCTTCTGACACCACAAATTGCATTCGTTTCCCTAACTTTGTTCAATCAGCTAAGATCGCCGATGACGATGATCGCATTGTTGATTAATCAGATTGTCCAGGTAAAATCTATTCCACTGTTCAACATCAAACCCCTATTTCTAGTCTCTATCAGACCTCATTTCGATTATTGAAAAATTTGAATTTCAAATACTCCGAATACAGACCACAAAATATTTTTTTCAGGCGGTGGTGTCGAACAAGCGGCTGAAGGATTTTCTCGTCGCCGATGAAATTGATGACAAATGTGTGGAGAGGAACTCGAATATTGATAGTAATGTACAATAAAAAGTAATAATAATGAATTTGAGGTTCAGGGAACCCAGATGTTATAAAAATGGAAGATTTAACGGCATCGTGGGATGGTGACAGTCAAGGGCATGCGACATTGGAAGGTTGAACTTCTCATAATGTTAAAAAAAATATATATATATGAATTGTTTTCAGATATTAATCTTAAAGCTAGCCGGAAGGCTCTTGTTGCGGTTGTGGGAAAAGTTGGAAGCGGAAAGAGCAGTCTACTTCAAGCAATGCTGGGAGAGATGGGAAAACTGAAAGGACGAATTGGACTCAGTGGCAAGGTTGCCTATGTCCCTCAACAGCCTTGGATTCAAAATATGACTCTTAAAGATAATATCGTTTTCGGGAAACCGTTTGATAGAAAAAAATATGATGAGGTTGAATTGATCTAAATATGTAAATCTAATATAAGTTTCTTGTCTGATTTAGGTGCTTTATGCTTGTGCCTTGAAAGCTGACATAAAGATCCTGCCAGCTGGAGATCAAACAGAAATAGGAGAAAAGGTGATCAAAAATTAATTACCTTATTGTGTATATTCTCAATTATTTTAGGGTATCAACTTGTCGGGAGGTCAGAAAGCACGAGTTTCTTTAGCTCGCGCGGTCTATCAGAATCTTGACGTTTATCTTCTTGATGATCCGTTGTCTGCTGTTGATGCTCATGTGGGAAGACATATTTTCGAAAAGGTGATTGGTCCAAACGGACTGCTTCGTGAGAAAACGAGAATTCTGGTGACCCATGGTTTGACTTATACCAAATTTGCCGATGAGATTAATGTGATGGATGGTAAGAAAAGATTATGAATATATTAATTTGAGATAATGCATGTTTCAGACGGCGCAATTGTCGAAACTGGAACTTACAACGAGCTAATAAAGAAGCGCGGAAAATTCTTTGAGTTTGTGGAAGAATACAAATCATCGGAATCTCAGGAAAATGAAAGTGATGAAGAATTTGAGGAGATTATTGATGAGAAAGGTAATGCTGGTTGGATTAAACTCTTAATTAGAAAATGATTCAGATTACATGAATTCTGAAGATGTGTCACTAACGATTGCTAACGAACTAAACGATAGAGTTAAAACGCCCGAGCTTACCACTCAACTTTCATCAATCTCTTCTCCTGAAAAAACAACAGCCATTGACAACAAGCTCATCAAAAAGGAAGACGTTTCTTATGGAAAGGTGAAGCTGCGGACATATCAGCTCTACGTCAAAGCGGCCACCTACCATCTCTCAATACTATTTAATATGTTTTTCGTGTTCTACATGATATTCCAAACTCTTCGCAGCTTCTGGTTGTCGGCATGGTCCGACGACTACGATCCAGATGATCCGTCGCCGAATCCGATGGCTGTTGGATGGAGGTTGGGAGTTTACGGAGTAATTGGTGTTGGAGAAGGTAAAAAAACATTAATTAAAAAATGGTATTTACGAAACCTCAATTTTTCTAGCGTCATGCTTCTTTTTGGCCCTTTTTACATTAGTTTTTACCGGTCAACGAGCCTCAAAAAATCTTCACTCACCATTAATCCATAATTTAATGCGATCGCCGATGTCATTTTACGATACCACACCACTTGGAAGAATATTAAATCGTTGTGCAAAGGTTTGTGCCTTTTAAATGATTACAATATCGCAGTTTCGTTGTAGGATATTGAAACTATCGATATGTTGCTGCCAATGAACTTTCGCTATCTGGTCATGTGCGTTTTGCAGGTACTTGTTTTTATTTTCTTTTTAAACAAATGTTATTTAAGGTCATTTTCACATTGATTGTCATTATCATATCTACTCCATTGTTCGCTGTTGTCATTGTCCCAATTTCGGTGGTGTATCTCATTTTCTTGGCAAGACCTCTTGTCATTTAGAAAAATAAATATTAAAAAATTTAGAAATTCTATGTGCCGACTTCTCGCCAATTAAAACGTCTTGAAAGTGTCTACAGATCCCCAATATATTCACATTTCGGCGAAACGATTCAAGGAGTTGCGACGATTCGAGCTTTTGAAAAGGTGCCTAAGACCCATATTTGGTTAATGATTTTTTTCTGTGTCAGGTTTCCGAGTTCCGCACCCATTCCGGCAATATTGTCGACAGATTTATTCGATGCAAATACTCGAATGTTGTGTCGAATCGATGGTTGGCTGTGAGACTTGAACTTGTTGGAAACATTATTGTAATCTAAGTTTTCCGCCATTCATCCTAACTGAATTTCCTTATTTTCTAGATCTTCTTTGCTGCGATCTTCGCGGTGCTTTCGAAGGAGTTTGGATGGATTTCGAGTCCGGGAGTTGTTGGAGTTTCCATTTCATACGCGTTGAATGTATATTTTTGCTTCTAAAGAAAATTCAGTTTTTTTTTTCACTCGTTCAGGTTACTGAGGTGCTCAATTTTGCTGTGCGGCAAGTTAGTGAAGTTGAAGCGAATATTGTGGCGGTTGAACGTGTTGACGAGTACACGAAAACGCCAAATGAGGTAAAAAAATGTTTGCGTCCAAAATTTGAAACTAGATGTGCTTTTTGCCAAATATTTCACAAAAAAATTTCAGGCGGCCTGGAGAATTGACGAAACTGCCCCAGACAAGAGCTGGCCGCAAAACGGAGTGGTCAAATTTGATCAATATTCTACGCGATATAGAGAAGGCCTTGATTTGGTTTTGCGGGGAATTTCCGCCGACGTCAAGGCTGGAGAGAAGATTGGAATTGTGGGAAGAACTGGAGCTGGTAAGTATTTTTTAAAGCATTTTTCCAGAATGTAAAATTGTTCAGGAATTCTATATCATGATGGTGAGTTTTTGAATGGGGGTGATGTAGTAGACTTGTGTGTAAATTTATATTATGGTGGCTATGCAAATTTTGGAAAGAAATTTCGAAAAAAATCAAAAAATGTTCGAGTTTTTTTTTTTCAAGTTTTTCACCGTTTTTTTGGGTTTTTGCAAAATTTGCATTGCATGTATTATAAATTATCTTGAAATTAGATCTAAAATTCGGTTTTCAGGAAAATCATCATTTGCTCTTGCACTTTTCCGAATGATTGAACCCGCCGGTGGTCGGATTCTTATTGATGGTGTTGATGTCTCGAAAATCGGACTTCATAATCTCCGGTCAAGCATTACCATTATCCCACAGGATCCCGTTCTCTTCTCAGGATCGCTTCGATTCAATCTGGATCCATTCGGTCAGTACACGGATGAAAATATTTGGACAGCATTGGAGCTCGCCCATCTTAAGTCATTCGCTTCTTCTTTATCCGGGGGTCTTTCTTATTCAATCAGTGAGGCTGGAGAAAATTTGAGGTTCGGTTTCTGTCGAGGAAGCGAAACAAAACATTTCTTGCAGTGTTGGTCAACGACAGTTGGTGGCTCTTGCTCGTGCTCTTTTACGGCACACTAAGGTTTTAGTGCTGGACGAAGCTACAGCGGCTGTTGATGTCACAACAGATGCTTTAATTCAAGTATATATTCCTTCAATTTATATTCGTAATTTCAATGACTTCTAAGGAAACCATCAGAAGCGAGTTCAAGGATTGCACAGTGTTCACAATTGCTCATCGATTAAACACTATCATGGATTATGATAGGTATTCTAATTTCAAGCTTATAGACTTTGTTACCTTGGTTTTTATAGAATCATGGTATTGGACAAGGGCCAAATCCTTGAATTTGATTCCCCAGATGCTCTCATGGCTGATAAGAATAGTGCTTTCGCGAAAATGGTGGCCGATTCACAGCAGGAGCAGGAGAAGTGATGATCAAATTATTATATTGCATAATTTCAAAACAACCCATTTATGCACAAGATATGAATTGTGTGAGAATAAAATAACGTATATACATATAGTAATGCAACCTCATTCATGATTTTTGATTCTCAACAATTTTTGAGCTCTGTTGATTCGGGATAGACTGCTGGGAATATAGCTGAGTCGGCGTCCTCTATCGGAAGTTGAAAGAATGTTTCCCGAAATTTGCGCGAAATTCTCTTCCTGTTGATGAAGGTTATAGTTCCAATGTTAATGAGAAGCAGCAGAAATGAGATGACAATGAACATCTGAAAGGTTATCGTGATGATTCGAAAAAACAGGATCCGATCTTACTACTGAAATGTCCTGGCAGTGTCTCAAGTGTTCTGGACAGTGGACCAATTGACTTTCGGGAGAGTCCGACTTCATCCAAACATCACGAAAATCCATTATACTGGAAATCTTTGTCGATATTTCAGATCACGAGCTAGTTTTTAATAATTAACGATGAAGCCTTATAAGGGAATTGAAGTGATGTGATGGTCGCAATAAGGCTTCAAGCGATATACGGAAATAAATTTGAAAAAGAAAATACTAAATTTCTGGAAATTCTGAGAAAAAAGATGAGATTGTCTCGAGAAAAAAGCCTAGCAAAGCATTGGGGCAACAATTTATTATTTTTATTTCATTGGAGATGACAATTTTCCCACTCACACGACAGATTGTGACGTAAAGGTTGCGTCGCGGCCGAAAAAAAAAGGAAATTCGTCGGATTATAGGGTTGAAAATTGGCGGTTCCTCTCATTTTTTTGGTTGCCTACAAACAATAGATGAAAAAAAAAGCCAAAAAGAAAAAAGGCGCCGAAAGTTCAACGAGAGCTTTTCACTGGCTTTGTTTTCATCAGTTTCTTCCTCTTCTTTCCTTTTTCTTTAAAGGAGGCGAATAAAAAAAGAGAAAGAGGCAATTCGGGGCTATAAAGGGCTTTGAATGGAATTGGCACAAATGTCTTATCTAACACGAACGAGACGAATCGTGTGCATTTATATGCACATTGGCTAAGCTCCGCCCATCTGGTGTATTTGATCAGATATAATTGGAATTTTAGACACTATTTTAGACTCATTGTTAAAATTATAAAATTTATCGTGCTATTGTGTCTCGTGTGGAAGACTCATTATATCGAAGTAAGACCCAATTGGGCCAGTTTGCATTTAACAGTATGACAACGAGGCGGCATCCAACGAGCCGAACCGTCCCGAGATGAATTGAAACAGAAAAATTGAACAATTCAATTGATGAAGCTTGCTAGTGAATCATTCATGAGCTGTTTGAAAACGAAATGCCTATAAATCCAATTTTCTAAACCTAAAGCACCGTTTGTCTGGAAACAGGTTTACTCTCATTTTGCATTTTCTCGCGAGAAAAAAATTAATCAAATAATAGTAGTTATTGACGCATGGCGTTTAATTGTGTGTTTTTTGTAATGTCAAAAATGATGGAAATGCTAAAAGTAACGAGTGTTAAGCACGACATCGGAAAATTGGAAAGCGTCCGTAAATCTACACTTTTAGTTTCGCGCCGAGACCGCCACCATAGAACATTGATATGTTGCAGAATTCGCGCGACAATAGCTTTTCGTGATATCATTGTTGGTGAGAGTTGAAACCGGAAGAGTAAGACAAGCTTGCTCTAATTGCTAGTATATTTCAACAAAAAATTGGGTGCAATTTGGTTAAGCCAACGCTGGCCGAACACCACAATTGCAAGTACTTCAGATTCAGATCGTATCGCTGTTGGAAAGTTTACTCACAACTCATTAAATAAATCGGCAAACGACAGCTCATGCCTTTTTGGATATCTTTAAACGTTTTAAAGGGACATAGAAGCTATAAAACATCCAACGGCGACAAATAATTTTAATAATTTTGTACGGTTTTATTTGCCATTGCGTTTTTCGTCATGCTTATCGCAAAATAATAACTGAGCCTGTAAAAAAAATCAAACGAAACATCCATTTCTGAGCCGGAAAAAAGTTTTCCCGAAAAATTTACGAAATGCTTCGTCACGATCATTAAACAATTCATTTTGTTTCCTTTTTTCCAATAATTTCCAAATATTTTTAATCAAGAGTGAAATGTCGTAAAAGTTGTTTATATGAACTCAACTTATGTGAGCTGAAACTAATTGAAGAATTTATGCCGTGAGAATTCGTTTCAATTAAAAAAATGAAAAAAAAAACAATTGAAAGTGGAAATTAGGGTGAATCGGCATGAAACATAAAGGAATTTTTTCGAAAATCGCACAAAAAAAGATGAGAAGACAGCGCAAACGAAAAGGTTCACAGAGAAGTTTGATTTTTTGATTTTGCAAAAACGGAAATGTCGGCAGAATGCGTAGCTTGCTCATTAACAGTGAATGATAATCCAATTCGCTTAGTTTGCCTTTTTTTATAATTCTAGTAATCAAGTGAACCCATTTTAAAAAGACGACTGTAGTGATGGAAAAGTGCAAAGCTCATTCGAGAAACGAGCAAAGTTCAGTCGAATGAGAAAAATAAAAAATGAATTGTCACCCTATTCATGTTTTTCGAAACTTAACAATAGCTAGTTCGAGCAAAGAACTCGCAAACATCATTGCGAAACTTACTTACTTACTTACTTAGTAAGTAAGTAAGTAAAAATTATAATAAAATAAAAGTGGAATATAAGATATTTAAATATGCTTAGTTTTTTTTTAAATCTTGACATCAGCGTGCTTCCGGCAGTTCTAATATGCGGTATTTTTCTTTTTTTAGACGGCAATTTCTTAGAAAATCTTAGACAACTTTTTGGTAAGTCTTTGAATACTGTGACTTTGAAGCTCGTTGATTCTAGCTGATGCAGCGGTCAAAATCGATCCAGGAGACCTGGCTCTCCAAAATGATTGCAGTTTTTTCACCTGAAATCGCTTTTTTTTAAGTGACCTCCATCACTATCTTATTCAGAACAAATTACAGTCGCTTGAGAAAAATGCTCAACAAAATTCCAAGAAAAAGGGCGTGATCGCACACGAACCGCAACGCGAATGACGACATTGGTCTTGCAGCGGCGGATTATTGCAACCGGTTTTTGAAAAGCATTCCTTATTTTATTCTCGATTATTCTGTGATGTTTTTATATGAACATTTTGTGAAAGAATCGGAGTCATTCCAATGACTAAAATGTGGAATTGGCAGCTGATTTTAAGAGAATATGTTATGCAACTTTATATTGATAACATATTCACATGAAGAGGCTTCAAAGATCACGGTCATTTTCGATTTGATCTGGTATGAAATTGAAAATTACAATAGATATCAAAGGCGCATAGGAATATTCGTTGATTTCGCGTTAAGATCAAAAATGGCTAACGCGTTTGACCATTCAAATTTGTCCAATTCGTCCATCTACGAAAACATATTAAACTCATTATTTATAACGAATTCCTCATTATCAGTTTCAAAAAAGTGATATTACGAGATTTGATAAAATATTGAAAAATGGAAAAAAAATCTTCGTCTGCATTTTTTATCTGCATTTCGTATATTCAAAATGAATAATACATGCTCCCAAATCATGCAAGACCATTCAGAACTCAGTTTCAAGCAAGTTGCAGCAAAAATATTTATGTAACGATTTCAAGCATGGTTCGTTTCAGTGATATGAACAGAAACAGTTGTGCTTTTCTCCTTTTTCATACATATTAACGATTTTGTATATTCCCGATAAGGAGCGAATAAAATAACCATCAAAATAGTGTTGAGGAATCCATGATGAGCGATTATCACATATACCATATTATTGAGTACTGGAATATCAAATCAGGTGAAACTTATTTTAAAAAGCCTTGTTACCTTGGTTATAATATGATATCATAATTGAAAAGACTTCATATAATATTGGCAAAACACAAACTACGAATGGACCTGCCATCTGAATAAACAAAATTACAAAAGAAAAATTGAATTCTTACTTGAATCGTGATTGCTATCAGGAATTTCTTCTGCAAGCTTCTGGTAGCTTTCGATAAATTGGTGTTCTCATTGAAAAGGTAAAGAAAACAATGAATCGAGAAGAATAGAACTTCACTGGCGATTATGATTATCCCGATAAGGAACATTAAAGCATAGAAAATCGAGTTGTCGGCTGGTGGAAGGATGGTTCTAGAAGAGAAGAATTCTTGAGTTGGACAGGGAACTATCTGCAAATCGGGAAATTAATCGCGCTTCTAACACAATTTCACGGTTGTCGAGTTTCAACTAAATTTAACTTCAAGTAGTTGAATTTAGTTGGATATATACGATGACGTTCACAATTATAAGCCAGTATCGTCAAACAAGAGATTTGTGAAAAAAAAATTGCTGAATTGTGGACGAGTCAAATATCTAGAAATTAATTGTTTCCCCATTATTCCTAATGAGTTCAGGAATTCGATTTTGTAATGAATCTCGGGTAGGTAAAATGAGATTTGAAGAATTCGCTATTGAAATCATGAACCTTTAATGCATTGAGTTTTTCCTGGGTCTGATCGGGAAGCACTGTAGTCAGAATAGGCGTCATTCCAGTGAATATGTATAAATAGTTAACAGAATAATATATAATTCTTGACGAACGCCGACGAATGCAAAATCGACTATTTGATATCACTATTCTTTGGCGATTTTCAAAAACGAATGATATTGAAATTCCAACTCCGGCGAGTCCTGTGGAAGAGCAATACACTTGAATTATGCCATGGATGTTCCACTCGGAGAAGAGGCCAGCAGGGATTCCTCCACAAATCGGAAAGAACAAATAAGGAATGACGAGTTTACCGAATAACAGATCGCAGATAGCACACCATATATGGGCATGAAGCAGCACCCATTTTACGGAATCCATTTTCGGTGGAGTTTTAAATAATATAAGAAATACTCCGTACATATTTGTTGGAATGCTAACGAATGAGATGTAAAAGCATGCCGTTTGTAGAAATTCCACACTGCTTAAGTAGCTTTGCGGAGGGCATTTTGAGTAGATAGTCGAAATATATTGTTCCATAAAGAAATGACTTCAATTATTTGAAAGAAAGCAGCTGAAAATAGAGAAGTTAACTAATGTGTAGAGTCGGGTTACAATGTTTTTGGATATTATTTGGTTCTGCGTTTAAAGTGGACTTTATAAAAAATGCACAATCGAATTACTGAAATACAGAAGCCTTACAATAAACTGAACATATTCGGTGATTTTCGGTACAAACGGGCTCAATTCGGCTGATATTTCTATCGAGATTTTCTACGGATCGCCCATCGAAACAGTAAATGGTGCCAAAGTAGAGGAACACAACAACTGCCAACATTCGATTCCTAAAATTGTAGAAATATTTGTAATTTTCATTTTTATAAAGACTGGTACTTAAGCAATTTTGTCTCGAAAAGGAAACAAAATGGAATTTCGAAATGTTTTGGAAGAAAACTGTATAAGACGATGATCGGCAGGAATGTCTATGCACTGCATAATTCCAGTAGATGAAAAACGGTTGAATGGTATATAAAAAATAGATGAGCCAGGAAAACAGATGAAAAAGGGTTAAAAAATGAAAGAAAAAAAGATAGCGGAAAAAAAAGATGAAAAACCCCTAACAAATAGACGAAAAATAGATTACAAATAACCTGCCAGGAAAATGGACTAAAGATGGATAAAAAATAGGCAAATAACGGATGGAATTAAATGCTCATGGTACTGTATACAAATTGTGTAGATTTTTGTGCTGTGCACACAGACTTCTTATGAATTTCGAAATAGAAATTCCTAAAAATTATTTAAATACTTTCGTTTTCCTTAAATTAATAAAAAAATAGTTGCTGAAATATCTAAAAATATAGAACTAACACGACCTAACGTTCATTGAGGTGTTCTTAAATCTTCAGCGCATATTTTCTAAGAGAACAGTTCGGAAAAATCGATATAAACTTGGTCAGTTACTTTCGCATTTACTCCATCTTCTTTCTTTGGTGATAGAATGATTCTTTCAGAATATTCTCAAAGAAAGCTTCCCTGAAAACGGAATTTCAATGCCAAGAAGTACAAGGAAGAAAATAAAAAGGGGCCAATCAGTTCTCAACGAAGGTAATTTTTAAACAATTATAAAACTTTTAATTTCTTGTCACTCTTTTTAAATGTATAGCTGGCGAATTACGTTGCTGCGCCTTTCTTGTGTTTTAGTGAATCAAAAAAGTAAAGAACAAGTTCTAAATTAATTAATGTAAAAATGTTTGATGTTTTTACGTGAAAAGATAGTAAAACTGTTCATAAATAGCAAAAAATAAACGCTCTTAAATCTCAACAAAAGAAGTATTTCAGACCAAATTAAGAAGTCGAGTTGTATCGTTTGGTCAAAGACAATTATTGAAAAGCGGAGGAGAGAAACATTGAAAAGAAGTCGACGAGGCCAATATGAGAATGTTGGTTATTTTGAAATTGAAGAAAATCAAGAAAAGAATAGTGTTCGTACAAGTATTTCAGCATTAAAAATCATGTAGCTGATGTGTAATTTTCTTCTAAAATCTAACTAATTTTAAAGAAATGATTTTCCATTTGGATGAGACCATTGAAATGTTTGGAAATCCAATGACAATTTCAACCACAAGTTTTGAATCGCTCTATATACGCACATTTGTAACAATTTCGCCCATGTCGTCTTATCTAGGTATGCCCGGAAGAAATTTCCAACGTCATTCGATAATAACGCTACTTTGTTTTTCAGATTCAGGCTTCGGATGACTGGAATACGAACTATACAAACGAATGGAATCTCGGCCGAGCGAAATTCTTAAACAATTTGTACGGTTGGCTCCAAGTTTATGCAAGAAGAATGTAGGCCCTTCACGGCCAATATCTGTGAACGGGGAAAAATATTCACAATATAATTCGCCGTTTGGAAAGTTAAGGAAGCATAAAAAATGATCACTTTTTGGCGTGCTGGTATTTTCTTTTTTCATTAAAATATGTAATAATTCTGTTTCAGTTTTATATTGCGAAAAACAAAAGAATGATAAGTTAATAATCGAGCCGATTATCGAAAATAAACAAAACTTCGCTTGGCTTTTGCGGGACTGAGTTTTCTTTAATTAATGCTGTTAAATTTAACTATGATAGGGACACATTTCCTGTTTAATTATTTTGTTTTCATTTGTTATTATTATTTAAAAAACCTAATGTTTCGTTGTAATGCAATAAACTCGGCGTTTCTGAAACAGTCGGATTTGCACAATGGTTGAAATGGAACCAAACCGATGGAAAATAGATTTGAAAAAACAGTATAAATGAGCAAGGAAAATTGATAAAAAACAGACGAAACGTGGTTGATGAGCTGGCGGAAAATAGATGAAAACCCGATGAAACATGGATCAAATGCGGACAAAAAAATGATCTGTGGCAGACCCCCTTTTCATCAGTTTTCTGCGCATTGTTTCATATGTTTTCCGTCCGTTTTAGATATGATTGGAATTATGCAGTGATGGAAATGTATTCAATTGCCTTCTAAAAAACTCGCTCCTCATGGACCTGAATAAGTCCATTAACCTTTTTCACGTTGGAAATAATTAGCATTTAAAATCATACGTGGTCCATATTTTCCAATTTCCCATCATTTTTTATTTCTCAAATTCTGGTCATTGACGTTTTTATTGTCCGTGCTCGCCGTTTCGCTAAGCAGATTTGAAAAAAAAAACAAACAATATAATTGAATGCAAATGAATCAGACAGAAAATTGTAAGTAATTTAAATAAAATTTGTTCAAAAAAAAAATAATTGAATTAAACCGAATGGATTAACCAGAATCGATAATATTGATTAACATTTAAAAATGTTCTTATTTCGTCAATTTCGTTGTATGCAGATTTTGTTCTACAGTAATCTCAAATATTCCACGTTTTCAATTGCCACGTTCTTGCGAGAACAAGCTTGTCATTCATTTTCAGTTTATCTTTAATTTTGTTGAAAATTTTAGACTAATTGAATTTATTTTATTTAACATAATTTGGAATAATAAAGTATTAATTTGTAATTTAATTGCAGAAAAAAAATAAAAGATATTTGAGCAATTCTTGGTCACCACAATAAAAACTTTTAGTTTCTCCGAATTTGCGGAGAGTTGGCTGCTTCGGAATGATGTAAGTCATGCTTTTAATTTTAATATTTTTGATTTCATTATACAAATATTATTAAAATTGAAGCATTGTTTTGATAGTTACGTTTTTGTTTTGTCTCCTCAACGAATTTCTCGGACCGCTGTGAGCGTGTCTCGAGAACATTCGTTGAGTCGGATTTGAGAGAGCCCGCACGGACGCCGCGTTCTCATGCTACGAGACGGGGATCAACGTCCCGCTTCGGTGACCCATAGGGTCCGACCCAGGAGGGAAATGCCTGGGGAGTCTAGGCGCACACGGTGGAGTAGCACCGGGATATTTCGTTGAGGAGACAACCAATTTTTCAAAAGATTTTGAATTAAAATATACAATTGCACCATTAAACCGAAACGAATTCACTTGAACAATTATGATGAAGCTCGAAAATGTAATTATTTAAGCAATCATTAATTTCGCAATTTTCATGGCAACCCGTGAGACAACAATCAGGACCACAAGAGACTAGTCAACACTGCGCTACGGTTGTCTCAATATTACCGTAAAAGTTTTTTATCGTCATATTCAACAATTATATTATATGATTTCAGATATTGCTCGATTAGACAGTCGCTTAATTGACACAACGGCTGGGTTTCAAGGGCAAAGAAATTGAGCAAAAAGCTGCTGCGTGATTGGAGGCTCACAACTATCCAGGCGGTGGAGCCAACGTCCAGGGGCTCGGAGGCTCTAACCCGCCAGGAAAGAATTCTTAATTTAGTTAGGGGTAGACTGTCGGTTATTGTCTCACAACAGCTCTTTTGAGCTGGGGCGCTTTGACGCGAAATTTTCTGAATGCCCTTGAATCCTGGATGCTACTCTCTTATCGGAAATCGGTTTGATGAATCCTTTTCGATTTTTTAAAATTGGATATTTCGAATATCTAGAAAGCTACCAATTTGTGTCCAACGAAATCCGCTTCCGACGTGTTGAAAGTCAAAAGAAACTCGAATCACTTGTAGTACTGTTTATCTCTGATTTTTAAATATAAATAATCGTTTTAATTTCAGAAAAAAATTTGTTTAAATTGCTTAATCGTCTGCCGCACAAAATAACCTTGTTCAATCGAGTATTATGGAGCCGTTTGCTATGCGAAAAAGTGCCGAGGACCAGCAAAAGGATTTGAGAACAGCTCCAATCAACTTCTAATACAGTGCGTTATCCCTCGCTGTTTTTCTATTTCAGAAGTAAATCGGCGATGATTCCGCCCGAGACGTCCCGTGTTATGTTTGATATAGCAGATTTAATTTCAGATCATCGAGATGAATCACAATTTGGCTTAAAAGGTTTAATGGTTGTGGATATCCCCGTAAGAAGCGGGATTCTACGAGTCAATAGGATTTTCTATTGTAAAAGGTTGGTAGTTTTTAATATCCTAATAGATGCGAAAAAGTTACGTATGTATTGGTACCAAATATAATTTAACGTATACGATTGACGACGAATGAAATTGTTCGATTCGTCATATTTAATTTCTGATAAAATCCTTTATATTAGAGTTGTGCGTAAAGTCATACTTTCTTCCACGTAAGCGTACGTCTGAAAATGGCATAAGTTTAATTTGTTCTCTATAGTGTATGACAGTACAAAGCATTAGTTAAACTGATTTTTTTTATTTTACTAAGAAACAAACAACCTAAATCTGGTAGTGATTAAAATCCGTAGTTTTTAATGAAGTTTTTTTTCAATTTCGCCAAGGTCGTTGTAATACCCCAAGTAATGTTTTTTTGGCGAAATTCCTCTAGGAGACGATGTGTTAAAAAAAATAGCTTTGATTTTATGCGATGTACAGGGTGGCTGAAAATTACCCGGATTAAAATTTCAAGCCTTCGTGAGGCGCACTGGTGCTTTTTCAGCGCAATGTTTTTTAATTTTTTTAATTAGCAATGTTTTTTTTACTATCTCTCAAATTTTCATGATAATTGGTTCGGTTTTAGCAAAATGGCGAAGCAAAATGCAAACCGACCAGCAATTATCGCATTGCACAAGTCCGGAATAGGCACGTATGCAATTTGGAAGCATTTGAGAATTCCGAAAAGCACCGTCTACGAAGCAATTTCTCGTTTCAAGGATCTTGGCACAACCCAGGACCGTGCAGGCAGAGGAAGAAAAACTACGGTGACGACTTCTTCGAACGTTAAGATCGTCCGAGGCAGAATCAGACGAAATGCTCATCAGAGCATCAAAAAGATGGCTTCCGCCCTGAATATGTCACGAGCTTTGATGACAACCATTGTCAAAAAGAAGCTTAAGCTGACTCCTTATTGTGTCAGAAAAGCGGCCATCCTTTCTCAATCCAACAAGCTCAAACGGCACCAAAAGGCAAAACTCCTTTTGGCGCGCGCGCGGGTTGGGGAACATCTGTCGATGGTCTTTTCGGACGGGAAGCTGTTCACCGTGGAGACCGAATTCAATTCGCAAAAACATCGAGTGCTTGCCCGAACGTCCGAGGAAGCTTCAGAACTCGGCTGGACGATTCATCGTACGTCGCACTCCGTCAGCGTCATGGTCTTCGGTGCCATCTGCTCCAATGGCAAATGTCCTCTGATTTTCGTGGAAAATGGTGACAAAATCGACAAGTACTACTATATCAATGAGATCCTGAAGAAGAACTTGCTTCGTTGGGCCCAAAAACACTTTGGTGGGCAACGATGGGTGTTCCAGCAGGACGGGGCGCCAGCTCATACTGCAAAGTTTACGCAGGAGTGGTGCGCCAACAATTTCCCCTCCTTCATCAAGTCAACAGAATGGACCGCCTCGTCTCCTGACCTTAATCCGTTGGACTATTCCGAATGGGGGTCTTACAGAGTAAGGTCTGTGCTAGGCCCCACCCGAATTTGGACTCTCTAAAGAAAGCGCTGGTCGAGGAATGGGACAAACTGTCGGTGGAATACCTGCGCGCCACGGTCGACGCATATCCGAAGCGTCTTCGCGCCGTCATCAGAAACCGCGGAGATCGAATCGGACACCGATAATCTATTTATGTTTGTTATTGTAAAATTAAACTAAATATGAAATTTGAGTGTGTTTGAACAATTATTCACTGAAATACATTGGTTTTCATATAGTCCGGGTAATTTTCAGCCACCCTGTAGTTTATTTATATTTTAAGCACATTTTAGTAAATTGTTGCAAGTAGCGACAAATAGGATTATTCTTTAAAACTGGGATCAATGCGAAATGCCAAACTGGAATTTCGATATTTACTTGCTCTATTTCGTTTTGTTTTTGTTTCTGTATTTTTATTCTTATTTTTTTTTAAATCTCCACTACAAACAGGTAGGTCTTTTTTTCGAAAACGGGCCACATATGCAAATCTTTAAAACGTGTTCCGTCTGTTGGACGTACAAATGACGTCTAGTTTGTGCACTTAAGTGTCTGCCGCTGGAATATGCCGTAATTTTTCGGGAAATCGGTGAGTTATTCTGAGTATACCAAAGGTAACTGTAGATTTTAAAGGTGCATGGGGAAAATTTCTAAATATTAGGGTTACGTTCATGTTTTTTTTTTGTGTTCTGTTCCAAAGTCATAGGTTTCTGTTCGACAGTGGGCTTATTTATTAAAAAAAAAACTCAAACCAATGATTTCTCACTACGGATTTCTCACTCCTCTGGTAACTCAAAACCAATCGGATCCGACAAAATTCGGCTCCGAAATTAACCTTATCCGATTGGTAATTCTACGGATAAGATTGTAAAATTGTCGTATCCGATTGGTTTTTTGGGTATTGTCGTATCCGTTTGGTAATTTGTCGTATCCGATTACATTTTCTTCGAATCCGATTGGTAATTATTCGAATTCGTTTTGTTTTAATATTTCAATTCGAATCGTATTCGACAAAAAACCAATCTTATCCGTAGAGTTACCAATCGGATAAGGTTGATTTCGGAGCCGAATTTTGTCGTATCCGATTGGTTTTGAGTTACCAGAGTCCACTACCGATTTTTTACTACCGAAATTATAGTGGAAATAGCCTTGTTAATTACACGAATAGAAAAAAAAATTTAAAAACAATGCTGTCACGAATGACGTGAAGAGGAGAGAAGATGGAAGGCGAGATAAGCACACGGTATAAAATGCTCTTTTTCCGTTTGAATTAGAAACAATTTATTAATAAGAAACCTTTCTTACATGGTGGCCCAGGCAGGGGCCGAACCTGCAATCTTCTGATTAGAAGTCAGAAGAAGTCAGACTGCGATCATCTTCCACTCACCAAAACGGAATTACTCGAACGCTGGAGTAGTTCGTGTTCGATCGTCCAGTTCCTACTTAAGGATTGGACAAAACGGTACACACAACTTCTTCGAGATCGCGGAGACATCGGACACCGACAAACGAAGACGACGGTGTTCAAACCGAAAGTCAACGATGTCGTCCTCATCGAACAGGAAGACGCCCCCATCCACATGTGGCCGATGGCTCGGATCACTGAAGTCAAGAGTCGCTCAGCCCAAGTGATCAACGGACGAACCCGGCGGAAGCAGGAATACCCCCATAAACGATTGTTTTTCCTGGAAGCCGACCCGACACGTGAGAAACGAGAGCACTACGGAGTCACGCCCCAAAACAAGCAATGCTCCGAATTCACCGGAAACGAAAACGTCGCCTCCAGGGCCGGGAGACCAGGAACTGCAGGCGGAGTCCGTCAGGAAGGAGGCGCCAACGAGGCACCGCCGCAGAGCTCTTGCGCCTACGGCTTGCTTGGCTCGAAGGGCGCGAACCCGGGAGTTGTGGATCCGATACAGGGAGCTCCTCTTGCAGTCGGGAGTGTCACGAATGACGTGAAGAGGAGAGAAGATGAAAAGCAAGATAAGCACACGCTATAAAAGGCTCTTTTTCCGTTTGAATTAGAAAAAATGTATTAATAAGAAACCGATTTCTTACAAATGCAGTTAGGTTGATATTCATAGCTGCGGACGGACGAACATTTTGAAAAATTTTTTGTACCTTGTAAAGTGTTTTTTTTTAAATTAATTTTCACTCGTTTAAAGATACAATTTAGCTATTTTCTTAATATTTAATTTAGTGAAAAAAACGATAGCGAAAAATCGAAAGTGAAAAAACGGTAGTGCAAAATCGGTAGTGAAAAACTATAATTTCGGTGGTGAGATTTTGGTAGTGAGGTTTGGCCAACAAATAATAAATTTTTTTTTTAGTTTGAATAAGTATTGTACGGTTAAAAACTACATAAATGATCTTAATAACTTCGAAATACGCCAAAAATTCGAAGAAAAAATTTTTCAACAAAGTATCTCTGAGGTCAACATATATAATAGATAAACCCTATACCCATACCCAAACCCGCCCATAATTCTGAATTTAGAAGCGCACTCTAAATATGTTTTTGTAGTTAAATTCTAGAAACGATAAATTTTTTACATTTTGCAAATATTCATCGCGACCCCTATTCAGTATCTACTAAAAGTTATAGATTTTTGTGTCGTCATAAATTCAGGAAGTCTGGTTGAAATAGAAACCGCGGTAGGAAAAGTCGGGGTGTGTTGTAGTAGGCCTAATCGATATAAGTTGTTCTACATTTTATTCTGATACAGATGTTTTTTTTATCGTAAATAAACTAATATAAAATGAAATTAAAATTTCAACGAAACATATTTATGTAAGTTTCAAAGCATGTTTCGTTTCAATATGAATTGAAACAGTAGCGCATTTTTCCTTTTTGATACATATTAACGATTTTGTATATTCCCGATAAGGAGCGAATAAAACAACCATCAAAATAGTATTGAGGAATCCATGATGAGAGATTAGCACATAAACCATATTATTGAGTACTGAAAAATCTATTTAGATAAAGCTAATTTTAAAAAGTTGAGCGTCTGCTTTTCGTTGGTAGATTTTGCAAGCGCCTTTCCCTATAGTCTCGCCAGACCAACTAGTTATTTCGCATACGGATCAATTCGATAATTTTAACACGCGTGCAGCACTCGGACGGCGATAATACCTTGATTATAATAAGATGTCATAATTGAAGAGACAACATATAATATAGGCATTACACAAACAATGAAGGGACCAATAATCTAAAAAATAGAAATGCAAAAGAAACCAATTGAATTTCCTACTTGAACCGTGATTACCATCAGGAATTTCTTCTGCAAGTTTCTTGTAGTCTTTGACAAACAGGTTTTCTCATTGAAAAGGTAAAGAAAACAATGAATTGAGAAGAATAAAACTTGCCAGCCAATTATATTAATCCCGATAAAGAAAATTGAAGCATAGATAATCGAATTATTGGCTGGGGGAAGGATGGCCCTAGGTGAGAAGAATTCTCGAGTTGGACAGGGCAATATCTGCAATGAACACAACTGATTTTTATTTCCCCCATAATTGTTTTTGGCTTTGATATTGGGCAAAGAATTCTCTATTAGAATGTTGAACATACCTTCAAAGAACCAAGCTTTTCTTGGGTCTGATCGGGAAGCACTGTAGCCAGAAAAGGTGTCATTCCAGTAAATATATAAACATAGTTTACAGAATAATATATGATTCTTGATGAACGCCTCCTGATGCAAAATCTACTGTTTCTTATCACAATTTTGTGGCGATTTTCGAAAACGAATGTTGCAGAGATTCCAACTCCGACGAGTCCTGTGGCAGCGCAGTACATTTGAATTAGGCCATTGATGTTCCACTCGGACAAAAGACCAGCAGGAATTCCTCCACCAATTGGAAAGAACATATAAGGAACGACGAGTTTACTGTATAACAGATCGCAGATAGCATACCATATATGGGCATGAAGCAGCACCCATTTCAAGGAATCCATTTTCGGTGGAGTTTTGAATAATATAAGAAATATTCCGAACATATTTGTTGGAATGCTAACGAGTGAGATGTAAAAGCAAGCCGTTTGTAGAAATTCCACGCTGCTCAAATAGCTGTGTGGAGGACATTTCAAGAAGCTAGTCGAAAAGTATTGTTCCATAAAGAAATGAATGCTATGATTTGGAAGTAAGCAGCTGAAAAGCATTCACAGTCGTTTTGAAATTTCTTATAAGAATCTGCTGTAAAAATGAGCTATGGTTAAATGCTTCTTCCTCGTGTACTGAGAAGAGGACTTCGTCACCTCGGCAGTAATGACTAATCGTTACACCTGTCCTACTAACGCCGGGGGATGAGGCCAGATTAGTGGGGCTAATGTTACAATTTTCCCGAGCGTCGGAAGGATTTCAAATCAAGAGACACCCAAACGCTAAATAGAGCACCAATCTTAGCCTCCGTCCTATGCGATCGGAATGAATCTGATGTTTTGCAATAGTCGGCCAGAAAAATTATGCTATTTTCCTAATATGTATTTTTTATTGTTGATTCCTTACTACAGAAAATCATCTCTCTGGACTTCTCGAGAAATCTCAAATAATTATATTTACTTAAATATTGAGAAGCATCGGTTCCAAGAAATATCACACACACAACCGATTCAGCTGCACCATCTCTCACACAAAAGAAATGAAAATTCAGTTGAGATTTTCTCGAATACGTGAGAGTTCTGTTTGCAGAGCTTAGAATGTGTGTGAAAAATCGGAAAAAATTCCAGGCGGTAAATAAAAACACTTTCCTTCAGCGTTGTTATTTCGAAACCAAGCGGGGGCGGAGCCCGAGCCGAGCCCGGACCGTAGCAGTTGAAAAGCCGAGTGTTCGAATTCGTGTGCTTAGGTGGGAGCTTTTAAAATGAATTTCTGGTAATCTTTGATACAAAGTGAATTGGGTAATTATACGATAACAGTAAAGAAATAATTATTGAAAATGATTTTATATTATAAATGTAATCACTTATTGTGACTGGAATAGTTTGCATATCGAAATCCTTCAATATCTGATTAAAATTGATGATGTGATAAAAATGAGTCGGGCTGGCCGAAACGACAAGCTTTCTTCCCTTGCCGAACATACGCTCAAAATTTGTGTATTTCAAAAAAAATAGTTTAAAAATTTTTGCGACAAAGTCGTAAATCGTTGCGAGACTAAATCGCCTCTCTCAAATTTTTTTCGCTGCGTCGCCCGGAAGTCATCAATCTGAAGGCTTTTCAAATAGGGGACTAACCAGGGTTACAGCACTGAGAAGTCGAAATGTTTTTTTTTGTTCTAAACAATACTCTGAATTCGACCAGGACGAGTAAAATTCCAGGCCAACTGTTAGTAATCCATTGACAGTAGCTGGAACATCGAAAAAGAATGCATAACGAATGAAATTAAAACTACGGTTGCCCATCGCCATCATCTATCACTTTCGAACCCCTTCCATCCAGTCTTTGTTAAATTGCGCATTCGATCCGCAACGACGCTCCAAATTAACGGAGCAGCACACTTTTAGAGGGATATATGCTTCAAATTCAAATGTGTTTTTATTTTCAAATCACAGATTTTATTTTATATTTTTATCAATGAACATCAAAAAGCAATAATGTTTTTTTTTCAATTTTAAATAATGTTAAAATTAATTATAGTGGGTTTTAGAATTTTCTTGATTCATTTTTGTAAATTTTATAAGAAATTTATTAAATTTTATACAGTCTCAATAAGCTTAATACAATAGTATAATATTATATATATATTTTTTTTAAATATATATAGTCGGCGTCCGGCGACTGCTGTACGCGGGTAGATTTACGCGCATGCGCCTTGAAAAGGTCTCGCCACGCGTGAATTCTTATTTTGCAATTTTCACGTGAACGATTTATTTCTCTTGATGAGTTTGGCATTTCTTGAAGTTTCTAACGATATTCGATTAAAAAATTATCAAACCGGTCCATAAAATTTGAAATAACCTGTTAGTCCTTGCGAGACCATTTCGAAAGACGCATTCCCGGAAATCTACCTGCGAACAGCAGTCGCCGGAGGCCGACTATACCAATTTAGAATATTTCAGAAATCTTACTGGAATATTTCAATATTTATGGTAGAAAATTGGAAGTAGGAAATTCGATTTTGGATAAATATCTGACGTTGACCGGCGTGAAAGGTTGCCGTCGATGAATATTGGTTTGAGAAACAAAAACGGAAAAAAATACAATTTAAGGAAAAAAAACGACGAATGCAGTTCTATTATCGTTTCTATTAGGGAAAATTTATTTTCTCTTTAGTCTTTCTTCGATAAGCTTCTGTTTGAGACAGTTCGTGCTTTTGAAATTAAAATTTTAACAAAAAATATTTATGTAACGATTTCAAGCATTGTTAAGTAGAAGAGATCTTCTTGATGAGACCCTTTTAAATGTCTTGCACACTGTTTAAATGTTTTTATCCGACGTTTCGATCGTTAGATCATCATCAGGGAAGGTCAATTTACCTAACTCGTCGAAGAATACTGGAAGGAATTTATATTAAAACCAAGAATCCTGAACTGAATACTAAAGAAGAACTTATAGATTTGGTCTCGGATTTGGGAATTCGAGGGGATTTTCTTAGTCATAGCTAAAAAACTTTTCTAAACCTATCCTCTATTTTTCTAAAATTTAACGCTCCTAACATGTTTATTGTGTTACGTATTGCACTTTGTTTTTGTTTTTTGATTGATACTTACAACTTAACTCTCTATTCCTTTTTTGACCAATCTATTACTTATTATCTTGTAGGTAAATTGACCTTCCCTGATGATGATCTAAAGATCGAAACGTCGGATAAAAACATTTAAACAATGTGCAAGACATTTAAAAGGGTCACATCAAGAAGATCTCTTCTACCTAAAAAAAAATCCACACGATGCACTCAAAACAAGTCGCTCCACAACTAAGAAAACTGATTTCAAGCATGGTTCGTTTCAGTGATATGAACAGAAACAGTAGTGCTTTTTTCGTTTTTGATACATATTAACGATTTCGTATATTCCCGATAAGGAGCGAATAAAACAACCATCAAAATAGTGTTGAGGAATCCATGATGAGAGATTAGCACATAAACCATATTATTGAGAACTGAAAAATCAAATATGGTGAAGCTTATTTTGAAAAGTTCAGCGACTGCTGCTGGGTTGCATACTGATTATTTCGAATTCTACGAATATTTTTTCCCCGCGTGCAGCACTCGGACGGCGGTGAAACTTATTTTAAAAAGCCTTGTTACCTTGATTATAATAAGATGTCATAATTGAAGAGACAACATATAATATAGGCATTACACAAACAATGAAGGGACCAACAATCTAAAAAATAGAAATGCAAAAGAAACCAATTGAATTTCCTACTTGAACCGTGATTACCATCAGGAATTTCTTCTGCAAGTTTCTTGTAGTCTTTGACAAACAGGTTTTCTCATTGAAAAGGTAAAGAAAACAATGAATTGAGAAGAATAAAACTTGCCAGCCAATTATATTAATCCCGATAAAGAAAATTGAAGCATAGATAATCGAATTATTGGCTGGGGGAAGGATGGCCCTAGGTGAGAAGAATTCTCGAGTTGGACAGGGCAATATCTGCAATGAACACAACTGCTCAATTTTTGGTTATTTTTATTTCCCAAAGTTGTCTATCTTCCACAATGTTAAAAATTATTTCGTCCTTACTTGTATTTGTTTTTGGCTTTGGTGCTGGGCAAAGAATTCTCTATTAGAATGTTGAACTTACCTTCAAAGAACCAAGCTTTTCTTGGGTCTGATCGGGAAGCACTGTAGCCAGAAAAGGTGTCATTCCAGTAAATATGTAAACATAGTTTACAGAATAATATATGATTCTTGATGAACGCCTCCTGATGCAAAATCTACTGTTTCTTATCACAATTTTGTGGCGATTTTCGAAAACGAATGTAGCTGAGATTCCAACTCCGACGAGTCCTGTGGCAGCGCAATAAAATTGTAATAAGACATCGACATTCAACTCGGACAAAAGACCAGCAGGGATTCCTCCACCAATTGGAAAGAACATATAAGGAACGACGAGTTTACTGTATAACAGATCGCAGATAGCATACCATATATGGGCATGAAGCAGCACCCATTTCAAGGAATCCATTTTCGGTGGAGTTTTGAATAATATAAGAAATGTTCCATACAAATCTGTCGGAATGCTAACGAATGAGATATAAAAGCATGCCGTTTGTAGAAATTCCACACTGCTTAAGTAGCTTTGCGGAGGGCATTTTGAGTAGATAATCGAAATATATTGTTCCATAAAGAAATGACTGCAATTATTTAAAAGAAAGCAGCTGAAAATGGAGAAGAGAAATAAGAATATAGTCGTGTCTGAAAAATTAATCACAAAACAGGTGTGTTTAAATATCTCTTTTTCGTGTACTGAGAAAAGGATGGCGACCTCAGTCTGGGCTTATCAGTCGACATGTCGCATGAGTGCCGTGGGTAGAGATGGTACATTTCCTCGGGGTCCCTATCAGGGCTGTGCGGCAATCGGAAATTTTGGCAAGTTGCCAAAAATAAAAATTTCGGCTATTACATTTTTTCCACGATAATTCGAAATAAAAATACCGAATTTTCACGGTATCCCAAATTATTCAATGGACATTCCTTTTTGTTTCGCCGATTTTTTTTTGATATCAAATTGCTGAAAATCAAAAGTTCGGCAATCCGGAAATTCGGCAAGTTGCCGATCGAAAGCTCTCTTCGGCAATTTCGGCAATCGGCATTTCCATTGCCGCACAGCCCTGGTCCCTATCTCTGCACGAGACCCTGATGTGAATTATTTTTTTCGCCCGGGTGAGTGAGGTCTTATGCTAGTGTTACCACGGCAATACAAAACAAGAACCATAGGTGATGGAATTTTCACGATTTTGGCTCAAAGGATAAACTGCGAAACAAGTTAACGTAATTATATTTTTCAT